GATTCTTGTACCTATGCGAGCGTGAGATGGAGGCAAGATATAATCTCATCTCTTCGGCATGGAGAATGTAGTAAAAACGCCGAGATTGCAAAAGGTTCGCACTGTACATCATTGTGTTGAATAAGCCTCGGTTAGCTTTCACAAATTGAATATCGAGCATGTATATTCAATCGTGTTATCATGACATGTAGTCAAAATCCGAAACTTGACATGTTGGTCCGGCGGTGTCTCTGTCTCTGTATGTGTCTTTGTCTCTTGTGTCTGATTGATGCGTCGTCTTCTGATTTCAGCAGGGCATCGACTTAGGTGAACCAGTGGCCTGGCTCTCGAACGGCCCAAAGTCAATTGCTCACCCAGGGTCGTTCAGGGCACGTTTAGTAGCTTGGCTCCGGAGGACGAATGGGGATCTCAGCACAGCGCAAGGGTCAATATGTAGGTAGGTCCACGCTAAGTGGCTCGAGATCAAAAGGTGGGAACTCCAATAGACGGCGATGGTATCGAAGCTCCGTGCAGTGCCGAGTATCTCGTGAAGAGCAGCTAACTGCCTTTGAATTAAAACTGTGGGATCTTTCGAGGTTTCCTGTTAGTAATACCTCGAGACCGACCTACTTGGACATGAAGGAAATAACGAGCGCTGTCTGGGTCATTTCGAGAACTACGGAATGGGAAAGCGCAACTGTCTTGAATTGCAACTAATAACGTCGAGTGCGGGGCAACATAAAGCAGGGGGGGAGACCATGGACTACACAGTACACAAAGTTGTTCCTGGTGGGTGTGCTCAAAGTACTAGTGCGTACCTATCTATTGTGCGGCACATTCAAAGTTGCCTAATAAACCACAAAACAGGGTGATATGGTTGTGTCCTACAAGTGCGGCTGTTGGAGCATATCATTGCTACATGCTGCTGCTTTGGTCATAGAGACACGGCATTAGGCCTTGTGGGTCCCCTTTTCCTGTGGGTTCTGAAGCAGAAACCAGTAATCAAGGATACCGTACGTTGTTATTCAGGAAGCGGCCTTATGTAGTTTAGCAGCATGCCACATATAGGACGACATGAACTGTCAAGGCTGTCTTCATGGAGTCTGAGGCTTGTTTAAGGTTTCACTGTACAGAAGCAGACCATGAGAAGGGGGTAACGACACATCATGGAAGCAGACACGGTGTGTGATCTAGGTCGAGATGGATCATTGCTCAGTGCTGATTCTGGCCATTGGGTACAATGCGTAAAATGGTAGCATCAAATCATTATCAGTATTGCCTATGGTGGGCCCTAATAAGGTATGTAGGTTATTTCTTACCACTGTGCGAGAAAGCCATCCATGCATGTAAGTCTACAATCTAAGAGTCGCCGAATTCCCCTTGAGCAAAGGATGGCATCATCCATGTGGCAGACAACACAAACTGTCTGATTTGAAATGTGCTTCGTTCCTTTCCCATGGACTGCAGATCGCCGTTTCGAAAAGAGCACCATTCTTTACGATGTCTACAAGAAGTGTTTGGTTGACTCTCACAGTGCGGGGTTTAAAATCGCCTTGGTTCAGACGAAGTCCCCATCTCCTATCGAATGGACTGACTGTGTTGCCTCGCTCAGTAACAGGACGAGTGGCATAATCATAATATAGGTAAGTAGTAGTCGTTTAATTCGACCGAAATTCGATTATTTGACCGTGAGGCCTGGGGCAACGACAAGATCCAATCTTTATTGGCAGCCTGAGGGCGCTGCCTGAACATTGTTCTCTTGCGTACTATTTCCGACTTGCCACTGCGAGGCAGTCTGGTAGATTGTGTTCCATGCCTGAGGTAGTTGAGTGTGCGTATTGGTTCCATGAATATGATCCTTTTTCTTTTTCTACGAACTCGATCTGCGCCAAGAGAAACCATCAATATCGATTCCATTATCCTCTACTTTAAAGAGCTCGTTGTATCATCTTGTTTTTTATTCTTTATTTTTGATTTTTTTTTACTATGTAGTTTTTTTTTTTTTTGACTTCGGCTGCCGAGTCTTAGCGCTCGTCTCAGGACGACCACATGACATTCACATAGCCCCGTTTTTTTCGTCACCCCTGCACGTTGACTTGCAGTAGTAATAGGGGACAGAGTGTTGCTACAGCCGTAGCAATACTGTCCGCATCTGTGGTAGACCTGTAGGTAGGTTTGGTAGGTTGGTTGGCAAGATCATCGCTAATGATTTACATGGTGAAACTTACGTAGGTTGCTGGAGATGGTTACGGGCGATACTGGGAGTACACACCTAAACAATATACGTGATCCACCTATGATGATACTTGCAGCACTACGACAGAATCGAGCCGTTGCAAAAATAAGACAATCCCTTGTCAATCAGTCCTTCAACAGGTAGACCATCAGTCTTTTCTTGACGATCGAGTATTCTGGCCTGATACCTATGTGTATACAAGTATATATCTACACGTGCTGGTTCCCCCCATGCAAATTTGACTTGCCAGGAATAACATTCCATCTCTTCCATTTTCCATATGAAAACTATTTCGTGCAGGATTCAATAGAAGGGATAAGTCGAGGTATCCAGGCGCAGGGTTTGTCAGTCACCTGGCCAAGAGCGCGAGCGAGGTCCCGTGCCCGGGGTAAACCTTGAGTCCGGGTAGCAGAGGGGGCAAAAGATCAGTCGATTGCACGCGAAAAGCAGCAATAGCAACAGGAGCAGCAGCAGCAGCAGTGCCAAAGAGAAGGGGCAGAAGGAGCATACATAATATTGCATACATAGTATCCTACTGACCTTACCAACCTGAATTGCCGGCCGCATCCTGAGACGAGAGACGAGAACGAGACATACGTCCCCCAGAGCTCGAACCTCGAGAAACGGGCCCGATTTGAACAACGAGAGGTCTGTTGTTTCCCAACCATTATCGGCAGCAAATCAGTCTGCCTCCATTGCCGCCAGGTTCAATTCGACTGCATCTCTCACTGCGTGTCAAAAAGCACCCAATTCGCATCTGGACACCTGCATGCCAGACTGGAAAACCACTCCAAAGTACAGACTACTTGCAGCTCCCGCCATTCAACCCAGCAGCAGAGTGCAGAACCAGCGAGGGAGCCGGACTAGCGATACGTACCTGTACCCCACCAGACAAAACAGGCTCACCTCATTCGGCCACCAGACTCAAGTATTCTGCTCGCCCTCGTCACTGTCTATGCAAGACTGGCGCAACTAGGACTGACCCCTCCATTAGCCAAGCAAGTACCGGCGGCGGGCAAGTCACTGGATCAACTCCTCGAGTTGGGAAGACATTGGGAGACTCATTTTTTTTTTCCTTCTCTCCCCCGGCCCTCTTGACTGTTTATTGAAATTCTCTGGGAACTCAGGAGACTCAAAAAATTACATTTAGCTTTTGTCTTTGACATTTATTCACAGCAGTCCGTTCTGTAGAGAGAGTTTGGACAAATTGCAGGACGAGAGAAGATCAAGAGCAATCTTTCCCCTGTCGTTCGAGTCGTTCAAAACTTCTCGTAGCCGCGCAGAAGGTAGCCAGCCAGCCAGCCAGCCAGCCCAAAAGGCTCGATTACAGCCGACTTGGACGCCCGTCCCAATTTAGGCCTTGTCACCTGGACCTCAACCGCTTCCCACGAAAGCGCGCCGATCAACTAGAGCCCTACCCCTCCTTGGAGATTCGCAACTGCTCTGGGAACCTCGTTCCGTATCCTGCAAAGTCTCGTCACCATCGTCAGTCTCCATCATCGACATTAACCACTCCAGGGTTTCACCGACTCAGCGCAATCTCAGTCAAGTCGAGACCTCATTTTCAGCCCAGCTGCAAGGAAGCTAGGTATACTTCTCAAGCACTTGATATATTTTTTTCTTCTTCCCTCTTGTCGCCCTATGCAGATCAGCCTCCCCCCAACGTTGGCTCTTCTACCACCCCGAGGTAAGTCCATCACAAAAAAAATGCTTTTTTCTTGCCCCTTCATGCTTGTTTCTTCTATTGTCGAATGCATAGCACATTGCTTTCATACAAAGCCGTGGCATCCATGGTTGCCTTGCATTTGAGAATTGTTCGTGTGCCCTCATGAACTACTCCTGCTGATGCTGCACCGTCTGCCACCGACGACGGATTCCCTCTGTTTTCCCAGATGGAGCAGTAAGAGTGCAGCAGAGAGGGTCATCACGTCAAGCGTAGTCGCCTTTACCCACCCAGAAGCTTCAACATCCCCGTACTTCTTAGCTTCCTCATCCAATTTCATCACCAAGCAGCCTACCTACCTGACCTACCTTCTACCTTACTTACCTTCACTCCATCTTCGCTCCCTCCTCTCTCCTGAGAATCCGCGATCCTCACTCTCTCATTCACCATTGCATTTCTCTCCCTCTCGTCTATGCCTGCATATTTACTCCCACACGCCTCTACCTGCTCTAGATCCAACTTCCTAGCCGATTTACCTCATTACATAACTGTACGTTCTTTTTAGCGGGCTTTCTGGGGCCATCTAAACAGGGCGCTGCTCTCAGCAACAGCTCCACTTCTTGAACCCCCCCGCTCCCCTCCATTCAATTCCTGCCCGTTGCAACCACCACCACCACTTACTTCCTATTCATCCATAATCCGCCTGCACCGCACCCACTTCATTGGAGAGCACGTTGAAACGCCCGCACTTTTACCTGCAATCGGGCTTCTTTTCAATTGTCAACCATCTCAAAAAGAGGTCCTAACTTTCTTTGGCGACAGACCAGAATCTCCCTGTGTGATACGGAAACGAAGCCCGACCTCTTGCACAACCGTCTGCGTTGATTCCCGGTTCTCCAACCCCCCGGAGTGCTTTTCGATCCACCACATCACCAGCCTCAAGATCAAGGTGCCAACGAATTGGCTACTACTCGGCTGTCCTTCGCCCGCGATCACACGTGCTACTTCTTCACGAGAAAGACAAATTTGGAGTTGACAAGATACTGTTTTGACACGAGTCTTTTCGGCAAAGCAAGGCGAACATAGACGCTATCCTCGGTGTTTTCCTCAAGTCCAGTCAACATGAGCTCTTCACGGCCCAGCGCGGCCTTCAACTCTCTCAGAATGGGAGGTAAGCTCGGTCATTTCGCACCTAGTCTATGTTTGAAATTTCCCTGCAGTGACTAAATGGATGCGCAGAAATCATCCGCGAAAAAGTCCAAGATGGTATCACGGGCGAAACCAGGGAATTGGCCTATACCCAGTGCAAGATTGTGGGCAACGGGTCTTTCGGTGTGGTTTTCCAGACCAAGCTCTCTCCTTCAAACGAGGATGCGGCCATCAAGCGTGTGCTCCAAGACAAGAGATTCAAGGTACTGCAAATACGTAATTCTGATATGCCGAGGACACTTGGGGCTGACATGAGTACGGTATAGAATCGTGAGCTCCAGATTATGCGGATTGTCAGACATCCCAACATAGTCCAGCTCAAGGCCTTCTACTACTCCAATGGAGAACGCGTGAGTCCTGCCAGAGAACCAAAGTTGACATGTGGATTACTGACGATCGCTGAACAGAAGGATGAGGTGTACTTGAACCTGGTACAGGAGTTTGTACCTGAAACGGTCTACCGAGCATCCCGCTTCTTCAACAAGATGAAGACCACAATGCCAATCCTTGAGGTCAAGCTGTACATTTATCAGCTTTTCCGGGCCTTGGCCTACATTCACTCGCAGGGCATCTGCCATCGTGATATCAAGCCGCAAAACCTGCTTCTCGACCCCAACTCTGGAATTCTCAAACTTTGCGACTTTGGCAGTGCAAAGATTCTGGTGGAGAACGAGCCGAATGTCTCGTACATTTGTTCCCGTTACTACCGAGCCCCCGAGCTCATTTTTGGTGCCACCAACTACACAACCAAGATTGGTATGCTTACCCCTTCCATTTCACCCTTTGCTCTTATTTGGGTTACTGGAGGTTCTAATCGCAACTATAGATGTCTGGTCAACGGGTTGTGTGATGGCAGAGCTCATGCTTGGCCAGCCACTTTTCCCCGGAGAATCTGGTATTGACCAGCTGGTGGAAATCATCAAGGTGTTGGGAACCCCGACGCGTGAGCAGATTCGAACTATGAACCCGAATTACATGGAACACAAGTTCCCGCAAATCAAGCCTCACCCATTCAGCAAAGTCTTCCGCAAGGCTGATGCAGACGCGCTTGATCTCATTGCCAAGCTGCTCGAGTACACTCCCACACAACGTCTAAGGGCGGTGGATGCCATGGTCCACCCCTTCTTCGATGAATTGCGAAACCCTGCCACAAAGCTTCCCGACTCTCGCCACTCCACGGGTACTCTCAAGGACCTGCCCAACTTGTTCGATTTCACCAAGCACGGTACGTAGCTGCTCAATGCCTTTTGCGCTTGGTTCACGCCGGCTAACTGTCTCCAGAACTCTCCATTGCTCCGTCCTTGAACGCCAAGCTGGTGCCGCCACACATCAAGCCTGAGCTGGCGGCGCGGGGTCTGGATATTGACAACTTCACGCCACTAACGAAGCATGAAATGATGGCCAGACTAGACTGAGATCCAGTCTGATCCCTGCTGTTCTTTAAATCGTCGGTATCGACCCGGTACTATAGCACTCGTTTACTGCATGGAGCCTCACAATATGGCTCTCCAAATACCTCCCGTCCAAGGCAAGAAGACCGACCTCGGAAATTCTGCCGCATCGGCGAAATCGCCCTATTTCAGACGACGCGGCGGGTTTCTACTAAAGCTAGAAGATTACACAGCTTGAAAGGAGGGATCAGATTCTTCCTCTCTTGGGGCAGTTTGGGACACATGATCGAGCTCATTCTGTCCTTTTGAGATGCGAGATATACGCAAAGCTCGGATCTGTTGGTTGAGGAGGGAATGAGCAGTTATGTACCATGCAGGGCAACCCAGTGCAAGGGCCAGAAACGGGCTCATACCCTTCTAGACTTCTTTGCATGATTGAGATGGCATCTTCGTTACTGGACTTGTTCGATTATTCGCTTTATCCTTGTGGGTGAGGTCCACGAGGCGGCTGGAGCTCCTGGTTGGTGGTGGCCAGAGAAATTCCCCCCATACGCGTTGAAAAGGGGACAAAACTTGGCGTACATGTTTATTTTTGCTGTCGGACATTTTCTGGACGGCCACAGGGGCAGGGAGTACCTAGGTAGCATGTTCATGTTGTTCAACGAGGCTGGAGGTACCTCTCCGGCTTCATTTTGGCAGCGATGGCGAAGTGAAAGCTGGCTTGTCATAACGGAAGACCTGGCGCGAAGTTCTAAAAAGATTCCTTTTTTCTTCTTCTCCCTACATATGGGGCACGTACTCGTGAGTAGTATGGAAGTCAAATACGGCGGCTAAAATAACGGAACGGCTTATTATGTTCGACTGGTAAAGTTGACGATGTTGTGGTCTACCTTTGTGCTAGGCGGCGAGACGATGAGATCAATTCAGAACTATGTGACATGTCCCTATTAGATTTCCTCGTTTCCAAGCATCATATGACGGGTGCTCGTCTGTAGTGAGCATTTATTTTGCGTGACAATTGTTGTGCATAACAAGGCACGAAGCCAATGCGGATCGAGTAAGCACGGACGTGTATACGCAAGCAGGACGACACTGCCTAGTATCGACGACATTCTGGGCCAAGTATTATATTTGCCGAAACAAATAGACGGACGATTCGTATAATTAATCGCCTTTTTGAAATTGTAACTTGACTCCACGTCGCACCAATTTTCCAGCCAGGCAGCCCCAGCCAGCCGGGTGTAAACATTTGAGTTTGCAACCAGTGTACAATCTTTGAAGGTCAGCCCCACTTTTGGGTGCGTGCCTTGTTGATCAGCCACATTTTTCAACCTTTCTATGAGCTTTTACAAGGTACATACGTACTTGTCTTTGCCTGCCTGTAACCACCCAGCCACAACACCATCCAAGCTTAACTAACCACTTGGTGCTCATTACCTTGTTCGCGTTAGCTGTAGCCAGCCAGCCAGCCACTCAGCCCTGCGCGCAACATTACGATCTCTGCTCACCTTTGACCTCATCAATCCAGGATCTTGGTCAATTTCATCATGGCAGATCACGATCGTAGACAAGGAGGTGGTAATAATGGTGGCGGCGGCGGCGGTTACAATCGCAAGCGTCGCTTCAGAGGTAAGTCTCCTTTGATGGATATCGAAGCTGTCCTAGCTTGGCACCTGTCCGACGGCGCAGTGAAGCTTCAAGCGATGCCCTATTTTGCCAGCTGGTCAGACATTGTATTGAGCCAATGCTTACAACACTCGCAGACGACGATGATTACGACCGTCGCCAGCAGCGCCGAAGATACAACGAGCCTCCGCCTGCTCACTTTCGCATTCGCAGACAACTATTGAGCCTGGCCGAATCACCGCTTAGAAGATGGCACGAAGAGGTTCAATCGACGGCGCGACTTGTTGCCGACAATTATGACAAGGAAGAGATGAAGACCAACTTCTTGGACTTGTCAGCGCAGTTGGTCATTGAGCAGCCGCTCAAGACTCCGTTCGTCGCTGCCGTTGTTCAAGTCGCCAATGCATTGAGACCCGAGGTCGCGGCAGATGTCTTGGCCAAGATCGCACCCTTGACCGAGGAACAGATCAAGATTGGCGATTGGCGCAACGTCAAGCTCTACCTCAAGTTTCTTGCCTGTCTGCAGAGCTGTCTAGAAGGCGACGGCCTGTTTCCGGTTTTGGAAGAGCTCTTCAACCGAGCAGGAGAACTACAGACGAGCAGCTCGGACGACACAATTGGTACAGAGCTTGTCAAGATCATCCTCCTGACCATCCCTTACATGATGGCTTCTGCACCGGGGCAAGGACACCAAAAGGCTGCCGAACTCATGGACAAGACAGATGTTATTGCTTCTGAGCCGCACGCGCTGCAAGTCTTGATCGATCCTTACCATCCAGACAGTGACGAGGAAAGCCCAGCTGCTAATTCGAGCTTGATCGGGCTCCTCCAAAAGCAGCTACAGAATGAGGCCAATGACGGCTGGCAATTGTCGTGCTTGCCTCGTCCATGGAAGCTGCCCCTCGAGGAGATTGAGCTCCAGGAAAAGATGGATACTGCCCAAAAGCACGCTCTGCCCGCAATCACCATCCCCGAGACCGTTGTCGCAGGCCCCCGACCATTGTTTCCCGAGGTCTACTTTTCCGTCTATATGAACCAGGACGTCGAGTCGGTCCCGCCGCTTACTAACATTGCAGCGTCCCTGGTGCGAGACGGATTGCTTGACACGATCAACATTCTTGACTTTAATCGCAATGTCACAGCACGGTATCTGATAGATGTAGATTGTTATTTTGCCGATGGCACGTTCATCAAGCGTGCGACCCCCTTTGATCGATTGCGGGACATCGACAACGGACGCTCGACTTGGAAGCCTGAGGATGTTGCCGTCGATGCAGTCTTTTCCCAGCTCTTCCAATTACCAACACCCGAGCATAAACTGGTATACTACCACTCTGTTCTGACAGAGGCCTGCAAGATTGCACCCGCCGCTATTGCGCCTAGTCTCGGCCGAGCAATTCGCTACGCCTACCAAAACATCCATCGCTTGGATCTCGAGTTGACCTACCGTTTCCTTGACTGGTTTACTCACCATCTCAGCAATTTTGGCTTCATGTGGAAGTGGGCTGAATGGGCTGATGATGTAGAGAAGTCCGATATCCACCCGGGCAAGTCCTTCATCATTGGAGCTCTTGACAAGGAGATTCGTCTCAGCTTTGCACAAAGAATCAAGGGCACTCTTCCAGAAGAGTATCAGGTACTCATTGGTCCTGAAAAGGAGCAGGACACTCCTGATTTCAAGTTCAACGACGACCACACACCCTTCTCGGCAGAGGGCAAGGAGCTAGCGAGTCTGCTAAAGAAAAAGTCGCCCGATGAGGAAGTCCAGCCTGTGATTGATCGTATACACTCTGGAGCTCTCGAGCACGCGATCGACCCTCTGGTTACGAGCACTGACGTTTTTGTAACTGCAGTCTGCTGGGTTGGATCTAAATCTCTCTCTCATGTTCTTGCCGCCATTGAGAGAACCAAGGATCGTCTCTTGGATATCGGTGCCGCTTCCGAGGCTGCCCGTCAGCAAATCATCACTTCCGTCATGGAATACTGGTCAGCTCATCCAGGTATTGCCATTAGTATTGTGGAGAAGCTTCTAAACTACTCCATCATTACTCCTGCCGCCGTGATTGACTGGGCACTAGTCAGTGGCAAGGCCGGATCGGGCGGTGACGCGCTGGCCAAGAGTTGGGTCTTTGAATTGGTATTCCAGACTGTGATCAAGGTGACAGGTCGGATTCACCAATTGGCAAGCGCTGAAGCAGAGAATGGCGCTGCCGAGTCAGAGACAACTGCCATGCGTGAGCTCTTCAAGGCCATGGAGGATGCTTTAGTCAGCTGGGCTCAAGGTTCCAAGGACCAAATGTTGGATCCTGCCGAGCCCATGGATGGTGTAGAAAACCGTGAGAAGACTATACAGCGATGGGGCCAGAGATGGTTGCGCGTGTTCAGGCGCCGGTCTGCGATCGAAGAAGCATATCTGCAAGCAGGAACCCAGTAGAAATGTTTACAGGGGCGGGGGGCACCAAAGGCGTAAAGACAATCAATAAGAGGCCAGGATCACGACCTTGGCAGTTTGTATCAGTTCTCTGGAGTATTTAGGGGCGACCAAGTTCACTACAAGTCTGCGTTCTTAATAGAGACAACAGGAATGGGGGCCTAGGAAAACTATGAGCAATTCTGATTTATAGCAGTTGTAATTTTAGCAAAATGGGGACTGAAGAAATGAGCATGCATGTGGTTCACTGTTAAGATTCCCCAAGGCGGGTCGAATGCCTTTTAGTTACACGGGTAGCTCGTACTATAAAGCCATTGACGTATGCTTTGTTTTAGTAGCAAAGACTGGCCGTTTCTTCGAATCGACGTATCAACTCTATCATTTACGAACCAGTATATATGTTGTTTTGTGATTAAGAGTTCGAACTTCATGCTTGCATAGTGATTCAAAGACTCTGTTCACAAACTATGATTTCCGACTTTCTGGGAGAGATGGTTATCGCCTGAATCTGAGCTCTTTGCCTAGGTTTGATTTGGTTAGGATTTTGTATTATATGGCGTTCAACGACGGGGCAAAGCTTGATCTTTGTCGAGCCTTTTGGCTTGACGCGTTTATTGCTGACCTAATGAGAGTAGCTAAAGCTTGACGATATTCTAGAATCATTTCGAGCCTTCCGCAATCACGATCGTTATCTTGCATTGTCTCTCCCTGCTTTCTCTTCTCCCCTCCACCTCTTTGGCCAAATCATGCCCGCTCCAGAAATCACGTATTGATATCCATCATGCCAGTCATTCAGACAGATTGTCGAGGATGCGGCTGTGGGCAATCAGGGTGTTATAGCTGCGAAGATCCCCTCGCCGACCCCTTTTTCCAACAGCCAGAGTCAGAATCAGAGCTGGAGGTAAAGGCCGAGTCGGTGTCAGAGTCGGAGCAGGGCGACGACGCACCATACACTGAAGGACCAAAGCTGAGCTCCTCGCTTGCTCCGCTGCGTAAACGGCGTCGTCTTGCGGACGATGGTGACGTTGACGAGCGTGATGGTGACGTTGCGCCGCCTGTGAAGAGACCCGACACGGACGAAGTCAGTTTCAAAGAAATGGTCAACGCCCTCGGCGAACAGACAGTGCGCAGCACATTGATTCGCCTGGCTTCCATGGCGCCGTCGTAAGTAGCCTCTGGAAGGTCATTTAGCCGCTGGAAACTGGCAATGGCTGATGCATCTTGTTCAGTGCCCAGGTTTCCATTCGCCATGCGTATGCTCAGCAGCTCAGAGAGGAGCGGATGCCACAACATCCCTTGTTCTATGACTCCATCAGTAAGGAACTGTGGCACATGCTGTATACGTCGCCTGCTTCCGATATCTATCGTAGGACCAGCTCCGTCCACGAACGGCATTCCCTCGCCACGCAAACGGCAGTCAAGATTGGCCAACGCGTGCGAGACATGTTTTTCGGCATCCATGAAAATTCGCCGTTTGCCACCAGGCTGATCGTTCTAGAGACATTTCGAAAGATTCTCAAATCCATCTTGCTGGGCGGTAATTGCCAAGAACTGGCGGGAGCCGTACGGCATCTGTTCGAGCCAGAGCCGAGCAGTGTGCGTGGTGGGGATGTTCCCGATTACCTGCGCATGCCTGGCGACTACTTCTTCTGCGTCTATACAATGAGCGTCGAGGATAGGATCAGGGCCGGTAAAACAGTAGACAGGGACAGTACTTTGGCGGACAAGTTCAAGTGGTGCCGGGATGAGGCACGGAGGCTTGGCCTCAAGTCGTTTAAGCCGCTGGACCATCTCTTGAGGGAATGGGGAGTGCCGCCTGATGGTCAGAGCTGGGACTGAGTCGCATAGAGTTAGTTGTGTTTGTGTGATATAATGGCCATGTGAGTTGAGGGGCTTTTCCTTCAAGTGATGGACACGATCATCTGACCTTCATAAAAAAAATAAAAAATTGTAGTCAGTCTTTATCAAAGGATAATCATAACTCTAGTACGGTACTGTTACTGGAAATTACTCTAACGACTCCGATGCGCCCCAGTGCGCCATAGAGTGACTGAGTGTGGCACACTCCCAGGGGGACGCAACGGAAGAGCTCATCGGGTCGGGTTTGTTCACACTTCCTTTCCCCACCCCTCGATATGAACATCTCTTAATTGAACCCTGACCTATCAAAACCTGGGCTGGAGTATATATGACTATCGGGTCAGGTAGCGCGGCGGTCGATCACTTTGCCAATAACGAGGATCGGAATGATGGCCTGCTACACGATGCGACACGCGGCTTAATGGGACTGGCCCCGTTATTCAAAAGTATTCAAACAAGCTTGATAGTAGTCTGCCTTGTCATATACGAAAGACACATGATTTGGAATTCATCGCTCAATTACTATATATAGACTATCACTCGCCGAAATGACTCTAAACGGAACTTTGTGAACAATCAGATACCTGACAGAAACCCATCCTAAAGGTGGCGGAAATCGACCTGATCTAACGCTTGAAGTTATATTGCTCGTTGACTGCCATTGCTGGAGGCGTCGGCAGTGCCGGAACTGGATGTGATGCTGGATTAGAACAGATCGTGCATATCATCAGCCTCAATTCCGTCTCAGGTATACATGGTCGAGGGGAAACGTCAATGTCACCGAGGTAAACTCACCGTCGTCAACGCCCGTCGGCTTGATGTCGTCAGAGGGCGTGATTTGAATGTCCTCGTGCCCGTTGGGAACCCATTACCCGACACCATCCATTTATTCTACCGCACTGACTGTCTGGTCCAGCAAGTCGACCCTCCACATCTTCGAAATGGCACCCGGATTCGTCGAGTTGATACAACAACATCGTCGATTCGGAGGAACATGACAAGCATCGTGGCCTAGTTTCAAAATGAGATTCGTAATGGCCTAGCCTGAAGACCTCGAAAGTTCTCAGTAGCCATTTTCATTCGCATAATCTCCAGGTTATGGGCTGACGGCTCCACTACCGCCCGCACTGGAGAACAAAGTTGACACTAGGTTGTGTATGAAGATGAAAGAACAATATGGATTGTGTGCAGAGAGGTCGTAATGAAGTTATTGTGAGTGAGTGAGATTTTGAGAGCATTTGAGATTGCTGAATCCTTTGGAGGTGCAGCCAATGAACAAGAGAGAAAAAGAAGAGACCATACAAGAGGGGCCTCAGGAAGTTTAAATACCCAGGATCTCGCTCCGTTCGCGGTTTCCAAGTCTGTTGGCCTAGAGGAAAGAATCCTAATCGTCTGAACAATCAAAACACATGATCCTTTGGGACGAAGGCAGGCACCGTTGGATCAAAAACATGCCTGCCCCAATCATCAACAACGGCAATGACTGAGATCACTATCTATGTCACCACGCTCATAGACAAATACCTTCAAGTTATTGACCGCGATCCTGTTATTTCCATCTCCTTTTCAACTCAGATTTCCGGTCAGATGCTCGCTTTTTACTTGTATTATTCTACTTTGATGCAAGAGGAGCCCTATCTCGTATGGTCCACCTCTTTTGCGGAATGTTGGGCAGGTGTCATGTACAGAGGACGCTTTCCTCTGTTACTGTTTCCACCATCACTGCCTTCCTTCATTACCGCTAATATCAAGACTGCAGAACAGTGTAGGGGCCAACGTAGGGGACAGTCGGGGAACCCTGGATACACAGAGAAGGACCGTTGGATGGCCGAACAATCGGCTCCAATGGCAGCCTTCAGCTACTTCTTTCGTAGTTTTTCCGGGCCTATCGCGCAATGGATGTCTTGTTTCTGACATTGTAATGAGTAGCGGCTAATGTGTGCCACAGAGCCAAGTTATTCAGTCATTCACACATCAATTTTTAAAGATGAAAACCATTTTTCAACTTTATTCTTAATCTGGGCTCTGGTTATATCAGCGCCAGAATTTTGACTTAAAGAACGTCGGACGATATTTTTCGAAATGGCCAGATGTCAAGGCCCAATGCATAATTGGGCATCATCGGATCAACAGAAAAACATATTAATACTGATAGCCAAATTAGCGGTCCAAGAATTTGTGGCACGCTATGCATATTCTCATGACTTTCAAACGTAGTTTTTTTTTTTTTTTTTTTTTTTCAAGTTAAGAAACATGGGGAAATATTTCGTGATTGACATATTCGGCCCAGATGTCAAGCTAATGCCAAGTTATATGTACATAGGCAGCAGTGAAGTTGTTACCTTGACACATTGCAACCAACATGGATGTCAAATGCCAGCCTGCTCACCCAACCGGACTTTCCTCGAGATATGGGCAACGGAATCAGGCCAAGCTGAATCTGGTCCGATATGTAGAAAGTGCCGCAAGGATTACCTGCATTGGATAGGTACATCTGATAAAAATCCGTCTGCGCGGTATATGAGCAAAGAAGCAGCTGAAGCCTGCCCATTGGAGCCGATTATTCGGCCATCCAACGGTCCTTCTCTGTGTATTCAGGGTTCCCCGACTGTCCCCTACGTTGGCCCCTATACTTTTCTGCAGCTCAACAGGCAATATAACCTTCAAGCCTTGGAGCAGGTCGATTTCCACAACCTTTTGGATGGGTTTTATGTCACCCCTACGCTGTTTTGCAGTCTTGATATTTGACCACTGCTCAACATAGTTTGAATGTCAATATTGGACTTGACTACACTTATATATCCTCAAAGAAGTCAAGTACGATAAGTAGAGCTGTAGGAAACTTGAAGTTTTGCCTTGATGGGTCATGTTGTATAGGATTGAAGTATGATAGGTATGCATTGCTAATGAACCTCGTTAAAGCCTGTCGATTAAAGGTAATCAATGATTGAGTTTGGCTTTGTTTCAAAAAGTGCAGTGCACTTTGCAGATCACTCCGGGATTCTAGGCGTACTGATTTGACTGTGCAAATTGCTTAGTACATAACCAGATATTCTTCTAGGTCAAAGGGTTTCAAGAAACTCGACGCCTTTAAGACTTGATTCATGACAGGCGTTTTTGGGTCCTTCCATTCTGATTACCTTGTTTCAAGGTCCAAGGAAAAAGGGCACAAGACATAAAGACGAACAAACAGAAATTTTAACCAAGTCTGATTTCATGCCTTTTCATTTGCCATCTCGCTCCTGGTCGTTGCATCTTGTCGGACCAATTGCCTGTAATATCGGCTACTGCTCTCAAGAGCTAACTCGCTGATGCCATTGCATCACAATTCTACAAACAGAGTCTTGAGGGCGACAATTACAAAGCTGCGGCACGGGCCACTGCAACGAAAGCGTGCTATATTACCTCTTCGATATTTATACAAGCGCTGGTCAAAATTACTGGCAATAATCCTAGTCCATCTTTTTCACGGTTCGCTACGGATTTCATCTTTCCTTATGTCCCAATGATACCGACTTGATTTGGGATTAACTTGCTACGCATGGAGTTGGTGTAAGAATGATGTGCTGCAGATATAAAGAACTTGGTAAGGATAGGCCGCCGGGTGAGAGAAAAAAAAAGAAGAGAAAGAGAGAGAGAAAAAAGAGAGAGAGAGAGAAAAAAAGGAGAAAATAGAGAGAAGCAAATAAAAAAGAGAAAAAATTAACAAAAGAAATGTCTCCGACACGGGGAATCGAACCCCGGGCATGACGGATCAAGATGAGAGCGTCATATGTTAGCCACTACACCATATCGGATATTGCTTGTTGAAGACCTCGGGTCTTAACATAAATCAAGTTGCTTAAACGGAAGTGGGGTAGCGAGCGCCGAGCCCAATCCTCTACAAGAGCAATCACTACAGAGTACACTCCATACCACCAACAATCATGATCAAAGGAGCCTGTATGGTTGGTAGAATGATTGGAAAATAAATCTGCCAGGGACAGAGTTTATGACTCTGATGGTATTCAAAATGCACTTTGATGGTCGCACAGGAACAATTGCCTACATAGAATAAACAGGATTCATCATCATTGCAGAGCCAAGCGTTTGTCTTCAATGCCATTCATTGACGGCACTGGGAAATGTCAAGCCATAGCTACTGTGCGCCACACTATGAAAATTTGGAGAATTTCATCGACTTTTTCTAGCCAGAGGAGCCAGTCCACTTGCAGCAGGCCGCGGTGGGGGCTCAATTGCAGTGTGTAGCCAATCGAAAGTGGGTCCGCGCACTCTTGGCAAGAAATTTGGAAGCTGCGAGCCCTAGCTAACCCACCAAAATTTGGAAGGAGCGTTTTTTTCACTTTCGCTCAACACCAAGCCTCCGCTTCGCGAGATCTCTCAGTCTTCAATCTCGTGACGACGACCACCCACGACCACCTACTAACGTACAGGTTTGTCCGCCCTTTCGATATCTTTTTCATTGCGACGTCTATTTCACGATCGACTCATTCGACTAACACACACGCTCAGGTTCACCAAGGTCAATCGGAATCACGATGTCGCCTCCTACCGTTTCCATCCTCGGTGCCGATGGCACCGCTGGCGCTTCTCACCCATTGCCTGCAGTCTTCTCGAGCCCTATCAGATCTGACGTCGTTCAATCTGTCTTCGTTGGGTTGGCCAAGAACAAGCGTCAGCCCTACTCCGTGAGCGAGAAGGCTGGCCACCAGACCTCTGCTGTGAGTATTGCCAGTATCTGTCATGTTGCGATGCGAATGCTAACGGACTTGCTAATCAGGAATCCTGGGGTACCGGTGAGTACATCCAACTCCATTCGAGTCTCATGAATTATGAGAACATTGCCCGACCACGACTTCAACTGCTTCCGATCATGAGAACTCAATAGCCAGCCGGTTGTCAGACTTGGCTGGGCAACATGGACGATACACAAGAAACATTGGAACATGCGACTGATTATTTATATACAGGTCGTGCTGTCGCCCGTATTCCTCGTGTCTCCGGTGGTGGTACTCACCGTGCCGGTCAGGTATGTTGCTCCCACATCCTCACGGCGTCTCTTGAGGAATGAGGAAATATAAGAAGAAGAGGAAGAATAACAGAAGGAATAGGCTGCCTTCGGTAACATGTGCCGCTCTGGTCGCAGTAAGTATTCTCAGGACATTTTTCATTCTGCTTTGATACTGAGATTGCTAACCAACGCTAGTGTTCGCTCCTACCAAGTACGTACCCATGGACCCACTTTTATACTCCATCACTAGTATAACCACAACATGATCATGAACCATCACGAACCACCACGACAACAACAGCAACTGGAAAAGGAACACGAGCTAACAAGGAAACAGAGTATGGCGGAAGTGGCACGTTAAGGTCTCAACGGGCCAGAAGTGAGTATTCTGATTCCCTGATGCGAAGGAGGCAGAAAATCTGACCGAAATCCAGGCGTTACGCTGTTGCCGCTGCTGTCGCCGCCTCCGCTGTCGCTCCCCTCCTGCAGGCCCGTGGTCACGCCATCTCTGGTGTTCCCGAGGTTCCCCTGGTTGTTGACTCTGCTGTCTTCGAGGGTGCCAAGGCCGCCAAGACCGCTGCTGCCTACAAGATCCTGACCACCGTCGGTGCCTCCGAGGATGTTTTGAAGTCCAAGGGCTCCAAGAAGCTCCGTGCCGGCAAGGGCAAGCTCCGTGGCCGCCGTCACCGCCAGCGCCGCGGTCCCCTCGTCGTCTACGACCCCACCGTCGATGGCAAGGAGCTCGTCAAGGGTTTCCGCAACCTGCCCGGTGTTGAGACCTCCGACGTCTACGCCCTGAACCTCCTCCAGCTCGCCCCTGGTGGTCACCTCGGTCGCTTCGTCGTCTGGACCTCTGCTGCCTTCAAGGCCCTCGACAACATCTACGGCTCCACCACCAAGCCCTCTGAGCTCAAGAAGGACTTCCTGCTCCCCTCCAACGTTGTTGCCCAGGCCGACCTTACCCGTCTGATCAACAGCTCCGAAATCCAGAGCGTCCTCAACGCCCCCAAGGGTACCGCTCTCACCAAGCGCGCTGGTGTCCAGAAGAAGAACCCTCTCCGCAACAAGCAGGTTCTGCTCCGCCTCAACCCTTACCACTCTGCTTTCGTCAAGGAGAACCTTGGCTCCAAGAAGGCTGAGGAGGGCAAGCCCAAGGCTACTCCTGCCGAGTTCCTTGAGACTCTCAACGAGAACTAAGCGTGTGACAATGGCTTGGTGAGATAGCATTGTCGAGGAAATGAGAAAAAAGGGACATTCACACTTTGCACGGAATTTGCTTTATGTTATACGAAAGGGAACACTCAAGAGGCGTACTGGCTCGGAAATAGGTCGAGTAAATTCATGACTTCCCGCAGGTTTTGCTCGAATTGATACCATGTGATACGACACATTTTTGTAATTCTATACTTCGCCTCGCGCGTAGTCAAACATTTCCTGTCTTGGCATCCGCATTCCTAGTGAAGTCCGAGTCTCTCAAGTACCACTACCTTGGTTCAATGCAAACCTATGCATCCTCCCGTCGCTGTTCATGATCACTGATTTTGATGCTTGTGTGATATGAATTGCATTTGGTATTCATGAGCAAGTCATTTTCATACGCACTACAGTAGCTCCAGGGGTATTTTATATCTCGACACTACGTATTAATGAAATTGTCCGCCCTCCCCTTTTGTGTACCTTGTCCGATAATAAGAACAAATGATCCCCTTCGTACACGAAAACTTTTTCAACCGTTCAAACCCATCGTCCTCAATAACGAGGTGGGTGAGAAACCAACAAAACGCCGGTCATGTCTTTTGCCTCTCATTCATCACGTATAGAACCGCCCATCCTCTCCTTGATTAATGCCATGATAGTACAAGATGATTCTCTAGACAAGCCATTTCTCTTCTCGTATTCAGCCATGTACTCATGAACAGGTATTTCCGACGGTAACTCGCACATCATGTCGTCGGCGGAGGTGCCCCTCCAAGGGCATCTTTAGCAAAGTTGGCACCCGAATCCCACGACTGTCTCGCCTCGACCATCTGGCCCTGGACCTCGTAGCTTTGAGCCAACAGACCCTCGGCCACACTTATCCAGAGCCGGTTGCCCGCTCTACGCGCCTGGGAGGCGCCGGCTTTGGCGCTCTTGAGCGCTTGGTCGCCTACGATATTGTGGAACAACTTGGCCTGCATCAGGTTGAGGGCAATGGAGAGCGTGTGCACATCACCTAGTGCCCTGGCACCATTGAGTGCAATGGCGAGATGGTTCTTGGCGGCCGTCATGCCAATGGGCGGATTCGTCTGCGTGGCGGCCAGGATCAGGTTAAAGGCGGTGCGGATCTCAATGTTGGGGTGATCTGTGCAAAGGGGTCGGAGAAGCTCAATGAGCTCCGTAGTAAGACGGTCGTCGCGATGTTCCGGGTGTTGCATGATCCAGATACGGTTAAAGGCCGACAAGACACGAACCTCCAACTCAGCATGACCTTGTTTCATAGAAGCCAGGCCTTGAATATCGCCATTATCGTCCAAATTGTTCTCCAGGCTGAGAAGGGCGCCCTCGTAAATCGACTTGGCTGCGGCAAGATTGCCAGTGCCCTGGTGATAGACGCCAGAAAGGTAGCATGAGTAGAGACCGACGACGCCTTCCAGAGGTGACTTGACAAGGCTGTCCAACTCCTCTACGCATTTCCATACTGCTGGCCAACGACTGATTGTTGCAAGGTGTAATCCTCGTATGATTTGCAAGTAGCATTTAAACTCCCTCCGCCAGTCAGCTCCCTTGATGGCCTCTTGAAGGGAGGTAGGATTCGACCGTAGCTTCTGGCCGTCTGAAGAACGAGTTAGTATAAATGATCACAAGTGCCATCTATCTGGTTGAACATACTTTTGGTCAGCGAGCTCAGGGCTTCCTCCCAAAGGTCGATGATTCTTTTGTCATTTCGTGGATTTCCATAAAGCTGACCAAGACCGCTAACAGTATATCTGCTGCGAGTTAGCTTTGGCTCTTAGGAAAGTCCAGGGCCACTTACGTCAGAATGAATGCTTCAATCTTGGTCCAAAAGGACATGACGAGCCAATCGCGGCTATGATGCTCAGCGCCGACACGGATTACCGCATGTGTGTCTTTGCTAATGGTTTGGGCGATGCCGGTGGAATTCCTATTGATAGGAAGTAGAACCTCGGTCGAGTAGTATTCCCAGCGCCCATCTGAAAGAGTCTCATCCATGCGTGTTTGAAGCACCTTGAGTTTTTGCAGAATCACCTTGGGCGACCTTTGTCGTAAGCTGCAGATAAAATCCAACATGAGCAACAAGATTTCCACTTGCGAGATGGAATGTGCTGAAGGGTCAAGCTGATATTTTCGTGCCTGTGCAATACAATTTTGTATCTTATCGACAGCATCATCCTTCATGTCTTTTAGGAGACTAAGTCCTTCCAAAAGACAGGCGACCTGAAAGATGGTAGTGTCGCCCCTCTGTTGTGCCAAGGTCATGATGGCTTTCAAGTTTTCTATTCCATGAATATCGGCGGGGTTTGAAGACTGTAGATAAAGAGTTGCCTTGAAGAATCGAAGGGCATAGACCCAGTGTGTGTGTCTCAACCTGATCTCGTGTAAATGACATGTCAAGGTGGTTCGTGAATTCTGCATGACTTACAACTCTGCGTCTGATATCCTCTGGTCCACGGCAATCATTGCAGCCTTGCCTTTCCTCTGCGACAGCATTCTCAGCTGCAGGAATTGCATCATGTACTTTAGGTCGGTAAAGCGATACTGGAAACAGGGGTCATGTTAGCAAATCCTTGCAAGTGCTCATTAAAGATGTTTGAACAAACCTTTTCACACAATGTGATGCCCTTTGCCAATGCAGTCTCTGCCTCCATGATGTTGTTGGTCTCTTCACACAATATGCTGGCATATCGCAAACGCACTTTTGCTTCTATCTTTGGTTGAATCTTGTTGCTTGCCAGCACAGTCTCGAGACAGCCCAATCCCGTCGCGATCATCTTGTGGTATTCCTGAATATCCCGAGGGTCGAGCGTATCAGCAAGCCGAAGCACTTCTCCTCGCGCCTTGGTAAACATCTCCTCTGCCACGCACACGAGCAAAGAATTGGTGTCCTGGTGAGGAATCAAGCCGGGCGTTGGGGCAGGAGATCTGGCGGAGCTGACACTAGGGCTCCTCGTCAGACCCTGCATGGCCATGCGCGGGCTGGCCGATACTCTGGCAGCTTCATCAATCCTGGCACTTGTTGAACTAACGCTTCGGCTCTTGATTGGCATATTCTGCTGAGCTAGTTGGGGCGATTGTATCACCGTGACGGGAGAGTTCGCATGTGGAGAGTTGACGAGCGGCGAGTTGGCATGGCTGGATATGGATTTGGGACGGTGCTGGGGTTGAATTTGTGGCAGAGGCTGTTGTTGTTGTGCCTGCTGTTGCAACTGCGGTGGTTGCTGCTGCTGTGTTTGCTTTTGCTGAGGCGTCGGTTGTCGAGGTATCGATTGATACTGTGTCATTGGCGACTGAGCAGGAGGGGGCATTTGTTGCCAGCCCATGACATGTTGGCCCTGTTGAGGAGTCTGTTGTGCTTGGTGCGCATGTTGGATTTGGTGGGCTTGGTGTTGTGGTTGGTAGTGCTGCTGTTGACCGTAAGACTGCGCGTGCGCCTGTGGTTGCTGATACTGCTGTTGCTGCTGAGGTGGTTGTTGCTGTGGCTGCTGTTGAGGCATCGGCAGTTGTTGAGTCTGTGGCATGTACTGGTTATTCGGTCGCTGCGCTTGTTGTTGGACGGGCTGTTGAGCCGGCGCGCTGTGCATTTGGCCCATTTGCGCGCCGTAGGTCCCAGGATAGTGCTGGGACTGCTGCTGCTGCTGCTGCTGCTGTGGCCTCTGATCGAAGTTCGGGTCGTAGTTTTGGTATTGACCTGGATGGACACCGACATAGTTTCTGTTTTGGGCCGTTTGCTGCGGATAGCCAACTGGCGCAAAGACGGCATTTTGATACTGGTTGTATTGCTGGTTCGAGTATTGGGGGTATTGAGCATGCGGGTTTCCATAGGCATCAAAGCCCGACTGCATATTCTGTTGCTGGGGCCATGGTTGTTGGCCCTGATTCTGGCCGTACCCTGACCCGGGCAGGGAACCGCGATATGTCATCTCCAGATCATACTATTCGCCAGACAATCATGTCGTTTCTATTGCGACCTCGCTCTATTCCCCTCCTCTGCTACTACGTTTCGCGTTTGGCGACACCACGCACTAATGTTTTCAACGCATCGATATTTGTTTCGCTTCGTTTCGGGTTCGAGGTCCGGAATCGTGGGTCTACGTGTATGCGAGATGTTCTGTTCATCAAGAGAATCGGCAAAAAATGGCGATGCAAAGATCAATAATGGGACCCGGAATCTACAGTGTCGCGCCCGCGCCCAAGTGATCCCCCGACGTTGGACCTTGGGGAATCCAGGGAATCACCTGATGGACGGGTCCGAGCGTCCGGACCTTTTACTAGCTCATCAGACAGGGATGTACTCGGTTATGAGACTTGGATTCAACTTTCGGATTGACTCGACAAGAGATGTCTTTATGTCGAGGGTTGTCATTGTTGGGTATATATACGTTACTTCAATGATTGAGCAATTGTGCTGAAAATTCGGAGAATCATTTGTTTAATTACTTCAGATACATTTGCCAGCAATATGCCATGGCCATATTCTCTTTCAGTCATTGCACTGACAATACGATCCCACGGAATTTGTACCTGGACTACCCTTACCCACGCTAGACTTGGCAACTTCTGGCATCTGTCTGCTGTTCAGCCAGCGCAACCCTGCAGGCTTGTGTGGGTATCACGACTCGCTGTATCATGGCGGTCTGCTGCTTGAGATATTCAGACTTTTCCTGTCCTCAAGTATTGCCCTAGGTAGAAAAAAAAAACAGTTTTTTGTTGAATAGATCTTTGCATTCTGCTGCTCTTGCGACTATAGATTTCTTCCAACCGAGACAATCCAGCCAATTGTGACGTCGGGAGCCGAGGCAAGTGGGGACAGGCCGAGACGGCGTGTCTTTTTCATGCTGTGCAATACGGAGATACTTCATCTTCAGCTTGACACTCCGACGGCGTTTTGCGTGTGGCAATTTCGTTTTCTTCCTTCATTTGATATAGACTTTCTTGTTCATCATTTTTAGATCTCATCAGAACATTCAACCTTTGATCCATTCTTGACACTACTCAAAAAGTTGAAAGACTTTGATTATGGCAGACTGGTTCGGCCGGGCGGCGCTCAACTACCACGCCTCGCCAACCCCCATCTCCTTTGAGACCAAGGAGGATGGCAGAAAGACGCTGCTGGACGTGGTCCAGGCCTCGGTCCCGACGTGCCAGCTCAACCCGCTCCTCTTCAACGGACACCTGCAGACATGTTGGACCGCCGTAAACAAGGAGGCGCCCGCCGTCCACTACAAGCGGCGCATCTTTGAGGCCGAGCACAGCGGCTACTCGGGCTCCTACGTGGTCGACTTTTATGTCCCGCCCGAGGAGGCGTCGGACGAGGTAGACGAGTCTCAGCCCCCGAGGACGACGTACTTTAGCGAGGCGGAGCTCGCGCATTTGGAGAAGGAGGGCAGCGACGATGATAGGCCCATGCTGGTCGTCTTGCACGGCTTGTCGGGCGGTTCACACGAGGTGTATCTGCGACATGCAAGTACGTATCTTGACCCCCTGCGCGGTGTTATGGACCATCTCGGGAGAATGTGCTTCGCGAATACGAACCTTTATTTCTTTGAAAGATCAAGCATGTCAAGCATGATACTAAAATTCTCCATTGTATAGTGGCACCGCTGCTAGAAAGTGGCAAGTGGGAGGCATGCGTCATCAACTCGCGAGGCTGTGCCAAGAGTAAGATCACGACCGGCATCTTGTACAATGCTCGCGCGACCTGGGACACGAGACAAACCGTCAAGTGGCTCCGGAAAACCTTTCCAAACCGACCCCTCTTTGGCATTGGATTCTCCCTGGGCGCTTGTATCTTGACAAACGTGAGTCCTTGATGCCACCTGGTAGTCACCAGAAGGCAACAGTTCCATATACTGACAGGCCATCTAGTATCTTGGAGAAGAGGGCTCGAGATGCGAGCTCAAGGCCGCCATTGCCTGCGCCAACCCCTGGAATCTCGAGGTCTCCAACAACTCCCTGAAGCGGACGTTTATCGGTCATCATCTCTACTCCAGAGTCCTGGGTAGTAAGTCAAACCACAAGCACTTTTGTTTAGGATTCTGTCCCGAGTTGACATTTAGCACAGCCGCCATGAGAAAGCTTGCGGACACGCACGCAAAGGAAATCCGAAAGTACACCGACTTTGATCTGGAAAAGATTGCAAAGCTCACGTACCTATGGGAGTTTGATCGCGAGGTGCAGACCAAGGCTTGGGGGTACCCGACCGAGAATGCATACTACCGTGATGCCTCTTCAGTTGACTCGGTCATGGGCATCAGAATCCCCTATCTGGCCATAAACTCGACGGATGACCCTGTACGTTTCCCCTTGTTGCACCTGAAAGATCGTATATTCATGGAACGCGTGTACTGATATTAACTCACGTCTCAGATATCCGCCGAAGAAGCTCTGCCCTACGGAGAGATCAGATCGAACCCCTATGCCGTCCTCTGCACGACTTCACTTGGTGGACATCTCGGCTGGTTCGAGCCTGGAGGTGGGCGCTGGCACAGCCGGCCGGTAAGTTCTTTGCTTCTGCACGTCTCCATCTCTGTTCCGTACGGAAGCTAACACTTGAGACAAGGTGGCCAACTTTATGAACTACATGGCTTTTGAGGCCAAGCTCGACAACATCAAAGCCAGTGGCTCAGCAAACGGCAAGGTCTATCATGCGGGTGCAGAGTTTGATCCCCTTCGCCGCAAGATGGCCGTGCCCTTGGAGTAATTGAGAATATAGAGATAAAGTGTGAGCGCTGTATTCAGAGCTTTGAACTCTTGAAAATATATAGACATAGAGGATATACACGTGGGGTGGGCTACACCTGTAAATAGAACAGCGATTATTGGGTATCTAAAGACACTACCGGATTCAATATATGGACAGAAATGACTTTACTATCCGTTTCAAAAAGATCCAGAAAGTGGTCAAGTTTTGTTCTCTTTGTCTGCATAGCTCAGTAGGGTTAGTCAGTGCTGCCCAAGCTGAGTTTGATTCGCCAATTGATAAACTCGTCCGTCAGGATTCTGCCATGTCCGGCCTCTTCGACTCGGAACACCTCGATTTGGCTCGACTTGGGCTGTCGTCGTATCCTCCAGACACCCTCGTCGTTGACAGTCCGTTTCAGCCCTACATTGGCAATGTCAGCATCAACTTTATGATCTCGAACGGATGACCGCATGATCACGGTAGATGGTATTCTCAAGACTTACATTCCAGGAATCCAGCCCCAAAATTGATACACATGTTGGCGTTCCAAGTCTTGACGCCGCGCTGGGCCGCCGTGACCGGGATGCCCTCGGTCTTGATCTCCTCGAGCTTCTCGAGATAACCGTCTTGCGACCGAAAGCCCACGATAATCTTGGGCACGCCGAGCAAAAAGGACTGGATCCAAAATTTCATGAGCTTGCGCTCAAAGTTGTTCATGTCTCGGTCGTCGCGGATAGAGGCACTCGTCTTGAGCTCGACCCAGTTGGTGGGCGCGCCGGGAACCATAGGCTTGGCGTCCCAGACTGTATTTGGTTGTCAGTAGACACGAACTATTTCACGTCCCGGTTTTGAGGGTTTGATGGGAGAGCATTAAAACCTGAAGCTTACCTGCGTCTACCTCACCACCTATACAGAGGATCGTCTTGCCGAGTCCGGTGCGAACCACGGAGCAGTACTGAGCCTTGTTGCTCACGACCTCCTTGTCGCGGTTCTCAATAAACTCTCTACTCGTCTCGCCCCACGGCGCCGGCAGTGTGCTCAGAGTCTCAAACTTGTAACCTGGCACCAATTAGTGATCCCAGATCCGAGATGAAATCCAAACACCATGACCATCACTCACCCCAGTAAGTCATGACGTCGGGAGAGAATTGAGGCGCAGGTCCTGGGCCACCTCGACCTCGGTTGTCCCACCGCTTAGGTTTCCTGTTTTGTTGCTGCTGCTGCTGTTTCTCTTTTGATGCTTGCTTATATGCGTGGTGTTCTTCGATGAATCTTGGCCTCATGTTAGTAAAGCGAGGACAAGTTTAATCTGGTATGAAAATAGCATACATGCAGTCCTTTACGCCAGTCAGTCCAGGTTTGTCCTCAGATAAGGGGGGATATAGTGATATGGCGTACTTGATACAGGGTGGCATTCATCTCAAAGCTGTCGATATACCAGGTTAGCACAAGAACATTGTATCTGATAAGTGATATTCATACCCATCTCTGTCATCAAACAGAGCAGACATAATCTACATCAATCATTAGCATAAATCAGACCTGATGAAATCTCGTCGTGACATGCCTTGGTCATCATGCCTCTCCACGTCACGATTTGGGCGTCAATCTTCTTTCCCTCCTGCTGCTCATGGGCCATGATTGTCTTGAGCAGGCTGTCCAAGTGCTCATCGCCAGAGTCATCGTGCTTGTCAAAGGTGTCAAAGCCTGCCGACAAGTCTGCGCCCAACTCGGGCGGATAGTACCATTTGAGTGAGGAATCACCGAGATGAAACTCATGCTTGTCATCATAGGAGAAACAAGCAATTTCCTATGTTTTCCTTGTTAGCTACTGCATCATTAAGAAACATGAATGATTTTGAGAAATGGTTATAGGCGTTGAACGGTGCAGCTATGCATGAAGGAGATGCTAAATAAGTGAACATGAAAAAAATAAGACGTACTCTGGGTCTCTTGACAGCTTGGCTGTCGCCGCTGAAGCGACCAATTGGCTGGATATTAAAGGCTCCCGACATGATGACTGGGTAACATGCCCAAAGGACAAGGCTTAATAACGATTCAAATGGACAGCCATGTGCTTTAGCAAACTGAAAAAGAAGACGGCAGCTGTGTTAACTCGAAGCCATTTGGGGCGAGAAACACAAAAATGGTTAAGCCGCTAAACAAAATGCCCCAGGGTGCTTCTGTAGCAGCGCATTCTAGGCGCCAGGGGTGGCCGCTGTAGGGACCCTTGCTCAGCCTAAAGATCTGCACCCCGCGGTTAGTGGGTTGCTAAAGCTGCTCACCAAAGACTTTCGCGTGTTTTGTTCCATTCAAAGTAAACAACTGGGTTGGATTGAAGCATTCATTTACACTTTGTCAAATCTCTCTCTTCAAGTTGAGCCTGCTTAATCAAAGACATATCTACTCAGACTTTCGAAAAATCATCAATTGTATCGACTCGCAAGTCCATCTACACATGCGCCGCCATGGCCAGTAATAACCCGCCGCCACTACAACGACCAGCAGCAGCTCGTCCCGTCCGGACCATGATGCCCGCGACTCACAACAACCCAGCCGTCAGCGCGCCCGCTAATAATGTGCGCCGCAACTTGTTCCAGTCCCAGCTCACGCGCCGTCCAACACCGGTATCCTCTTCCAACTCGGCCGAAACCCTCCGGCTCGATGTCGATGTGTTGTCCGATACGTCGGAGATTGTGGTGCGGGACAAGAATGGCGACTTTAAGCTCGATGACCCGCCCACGCCGCCCATGGAAGATGCTTCAGAGGAAGGGGCAATAGACGAGGACAGAGAAAATGAGCGTATGACCGAACCTCATTCCAAGAGATCGAACGCAGGTATTCGAGGCGGCATTGGCTAATTGACAAGACAGGCGAGAGAAGGAAGCTTGCTGAGATAGTCAGACATCACCAAAAGGCACCCGTGCAACAAGAAGGTAGGAATAACACTAGGCATCAGGCATTTGCTTGGTCATGCGCTGACTTTGTGTCGAAACAATAGAAGTACTCGAGGCCCTTCGAGCCAGCATGCGAGCGCAAGTGGCAGCCCTAGCCGAAGATAACTGGATGTACGAAGCAGAAGAACCAGCACGCCCACAATGAGAGAAGAGGCCATTTACAATTATCGCTCTCTTTTTGTTTCGTCTATGGCTCGTATCTACGTCATCAACGCCTTGTAGGATATCATTGCTTGGTACGGGGTATATGCCAGGTGGACAATATCTAGTCCAGGCCCTCTGCGGTCGGCAGCGAAGCAGGAGACTTGACGGCGGGTCTCCTGCTGCCTCCGGCAGGGGCGCCACCACCACCACCTCCGCCGAAAAAGCCACTCATCATGTCCATGAGTGGGTTGCTCTGTCTTGGTTTCTCGATGCCAAAGTATATCTCGGCAATCATGGTCAGCGGCTCGTGCCATGCTTCCACCTCGTTAATGTGAGACGCATACTTGGCCGTCAGCTGTCGGTAGAGGTCTGGGGTCTGCCGCGATACGGTCATGAGAAGAAGGCCGAGGAAGTTAAGGAGGGGGATGCTCGGGAATATTCTAATGTCGGCTGTGTTGCTGCTGACGTCTTGAACACCGATGGCGCTTCCCTTGTCCTGGATGAGGGAGCTCGTAAAGTACCGATACGCCGTGTTGGCCGCCCGTATGTTGGCGGTAAGAAGATAGGGTAGAATAGCTCGACCGGCGTACAGAGCTGCCGTGTGCGAATCGTCCTCCTTGAACCACTCATACTCCAGCTTGGCCAGGAGCTCGGGCGAGTCCTTTGTGCCTAATACCAAGTGGCGCTCAGCGTCGTATGTCTCGTGTTCTTCGGCGTAAAGACTGCCAGCAACGTGGTGTAGCTCGGGGTCGCCGGCGGGGAATTCGCCGTACTTGGATGACCAACTTGATTACCAGATATTAGTATCATCGTCCCGTTTGCTACTCCCTTCCATTTCCCATAATAACTCACGTAATAATCTCTCCAATAAACTTCTTCCTCGTCGGCTCGCCAGGGCCAAACAGGCGCAGGCAAGTCAGAAGCTTGCCCTTGTTGCTGGCATCGGGCTTTAGCTCGGCAGACTTGTAAGTATCGACGAGCAGGATGCTGAGGTCGCCGCCACTGCCGCCCTGGCCGGCCTTGAGCAGGGACTGGGCAACATTATACAAGATGTCAATGGCGGCGGACCAGTTGGCCGCCTTGGTGTACCGCGCGGCCACCACCCGGGTCTGCTGCTGTGCCTCGTAGAACTGGCCCTCTTCGATGCGCGCCTGCAGCCGGGCAATGATCTTTTCGATCTTGTCGGCTTTCGCGGTTGCCATGGCAGAGAAGGCGAAAAAAGGCAGGGAAGGGGGAGCAGAAAGATCGTAGGTGCTACGAGGGCAGAGTTGACGATGCGAACGAAGCGTTTTGGCGGCGGCAACGGTGGTGGCGTTTGAACGTAACGTGAATGGAACTTGGTGGGCAACTTTGGTCGTCAATGGCGGGGAGCTTCTTGAGGTGAGGTCAGCTAACTTGAGGTTGCGGCTAGTGGGTTTCGTTTCCAAGGTGGGATGCAAGTGGGCACGACAGAAAATCACCTAACCTAGCTACCAAAGCAGGTTGAGCAGCAAACCGGCCGTCTCTCCAAATTTCTGCTTGAAGTGCACCGTTTTCAATTCAGTATATTCAAGTGATCTATGAATTTGCAGCTCAATTTGTTTTTTTAATTCTTACAGAGAAAATTTCTTTCCAATAACAAGTATTTGAAATATTTCTGGATTACGTTGTTTGTGGTGGTTTATTGAGCTTACTGGTAAAGCAATCGGTTGCTGGATTCGAGGGCTACGGTCGGTTTCGTACTACGAGCTCTTGAGCAGGTGTTGGGGAACAAGGAACAGTTTTATGGTCCCAAATACTCCCTTATTATTTTCTTCACCAACGTATCAATTATTCCTCTTGTGAGAACCTCTATTTGATGGATACTTTTTTGATTATCATCCCTTCTTTATATTCATCGAGCGGAGGGTTGTACTAACGACTACTCATAGAAGCGGACCAAAACGGTATATTCGCCTACTGCAACCAGATTCTTGTACAGAACTTGGTGCCGTCTCTGCGTTGCTTGGGAATTATTACAGAGAGCACCCAGATATGCCCAGTTAGCCTCTTAGAAATGCTAATAACGTTTCGAATTATGAACATGATCACTCTATGACATACTTTGGAGAGCATGTGTTTGTACGAGTCAAGACTCGTGGGCCGCAGGGGTCCTTGGGTTCTATTAGTGCCCAAATCACAATTTTTGCAGGCCCTGACTTGACTTTTCGTTTCATTCAACTTTTTTCTTTCTTGAGCCTTTCATACTCTCAATATAGTGGTTTTCCTGGATTCCACAGTATTTAGCTCCCGACTATAACATACTCCATCCAAATATACTATACTCACAAGGCCCTGGATATACTACACCTGTTTCTTTCCGTATTCTTTATACCAATCTCAAACCTCGGCGAGGCACAGCATATACACTACTGCACACCCCGCAGCATGTCAATGATGACATATATTGGCTCATAAACGAGCCCCGAATAATCGCCGTAATCATCAGCACTGATGGTGTAAGGGTAACATTAAAGCTTCCCATTATAAAGAGAATTGCTTTAGCTTTGGGTTCGAGTCCCGATCAGCGCACATAATGGTCCTGGTTCAATCAGGAAATATTCTTTTTTATCTTTCCAGAGTTGGCTACAATTATCTCTAAATGAAATTCTTACACATCCATTTCAATCTTCTCTGCCTCGTCTTTTTGTCCTAGTTATGAAAGACTCGTTGCCCGCAATACTGGCGTTGTCATCCTTGCCTAGGCTTTCTGAAGTGACTGACTGTATGACGGCCTGGCTTGACTTGGTAGATGACATGACGCAGGCTTGTATTCGTCCATGTGTTCGGCCATTGCCATAGATTGTCTGATCATTGGTGCAATATGCCATGTCGTGAGATTCCAGAAATGCCATGTTGCAAATAGTACCGACGTTCTCATTCATCCTACAACTCCCTGTTCGCACCTGTCGGTTCAATGTCTCCTCATCGCCACGCAATGGCGCAACATCCCTCCCATAACATCAAATCCCATGTGGTGTTTCCAGTCGAGCGAGCCCGGGGACAATTTGGAGCGCAATCGGAAACATCGTACTCGAGCTCATGCACGTCGATGTCGGCGCAGTCGGGATGTCTCGGGGCGCCGGTCTCGTGAAAGGTCATCAAGATTGCTTCGACCTCGCCTGGTTTCGTGAAACATATGTTGCCGCAATGATGGAACTGTCGCATGTGCTTGATGAGTCCCGAAAGCGCTCCATCGCGATCAGCCCCTTCCAGGGCCTGCCTGTATTGTTTGACATGAGGTACAAGTATTTGAGCTGGTAAGTAGCAAATCTCTCTTGGCCGGTCATTGAGTAGATGATATATAGTTAGTTCGCCTCGAACGTTCATCTGTGGCGTGGTCAGCCAATATGTTTGTGCCGCGCAGCTCTGAGACCGACCTCCATAAACTCTTGCCAATGGGCGGGGTCGATAACGAGCAACTGTTGGAGTAGGATGGCATCAGAGTCGCCGCTGTCGGCGTCCAGGCCGAACTCCAACATGGTAATTTTTGCAGCAGCATCCTTGAAGGAACCCATCAGCAAGCCGTTGCTGCTGGAACGCGTACCAGACCATTCGAGCTTCTGAGCCCTCCAAAGTGCCATCATCCTCCAGGATCGAATCTCCCAGGACTTAGTAGGGGGCAGAAGAGCTATTCGGACACGGTTCTGCTGCTGGACCTCAACCCTTTTGCACTGATTCTGCCACTCATTGTGATGCAAACCCTCATTTAGAATCTGCTCATCGAGTTCACCATGGTAACAGGGGTCAGAGGAACGTAAAGGGAAGGCAGCCTAACCCAAGAATTAACATCAGGACAAAGCGTGCCAAGGTTGGTTCGATGAGGGACGTATATCTCACCATCAACAGCCATATACAGGCCTTTGCACACCAGTCTATACCCTGAGGGCCTTGAAGGAGCCAATTCTTTGCCAGAGAAGGTTCGCAACCCCAAGTTGTCATGAGGTAGACAACGCGGCTCAACGAGAGGTCTTTGCTGCGCAGCGCAAGAGTGATGCGCTCTCTCACGTATTTGCGGAGTTTGGCATTGCCAGGCCAGTACGCTTGGAAATCACGTAGACCTCTTTCTACTGCGCTGATTAGTGCATCTTCTGCGAAAGGTCTGCCAGGGGATGGAATTTCATAGGCCATGAGCCAGTCTCGGTAGCCAACTCTGTCGTGTAGCTCGGGGCGGTCGTACTCGATCCAGGTCTTCCATCCATTTCTGATGAATGAATGTTGGTCTGCCATTTTCGATGAGGTTCCGAGTTAGTTAACTCATCTCAATCAGGTAAACTTGTTGTTTGACAGCTTCACAAGATTGTGTTTGACGGCTGTTTTTGGTAGATGACAATGAGAAAAGTTCGAGTTGTGGGATATGTCTGTGTTGCACCTGCCGCCGCATTGAAAAGAGACACCGCCGCAGGCGCGAAGTTGCTACTGGGCAGGTGCTTTAGCAGCGAGTAAATCTGCCTACTCCAGATGATACGATAGCCAATTTTCAGGAATCAACATGAGTGACGACCACAAGTCCAACGTTCAGGTTATGCAGAAAATTGTCATGCTCCGACTCTTTCTGCAAGTTGCAATGTTATTTCCGCAAAATCTGTGATATTCAAGTCGTCGGATTCTTTTTTTCTCTCCTCTTTTCTCTTCCTCTTTCTCTTTTTGCTTTCTTCTCTCCCTTTCTCCTTTTTCTTTCTTAAAAGAAAATGGAGAAAGATGATTCGTGGCTCTTCCTGTCCTGTTGCTCTATCGAGACTTCCGTTTCGTTGGCGTTTCAAATCATAATAGCCATTGAAGCAGACAAAATATGGCCCCGAAAATTTGACTACCTCTGAGTATCTGATCAATGGCCAGAAGCATCGAGTCACTTGACACTCAAAGCTACAAGAGTTGATGCCAATGCTAGAGCTCATCCTCGATCTACCCTCGTATTTTGATCCCTTTTGGCCTGTTTCGAACAAGAGTATCTTGGGACTATGTGAGAAACACCTTTCATCCGTCATCAATCTGATTTGTGTGCATATCAGTAGGAGCGAGGCAGGCCTGTTAAATCCGGAGTCGTAGAGGATCTGAACTTATGGTGACAAACCTACCTACCGCTTGGTAGCATCGATAGGCAGGTTCAGAGACTTCGCGAATGCCAGCCAATCTACAATATCTTGTAATTTACCTGTGCCATAAACGTCTTGTTTTCAGTTCAGAAGACCTTGGCCATAAAGCGATATGTTGTTCTGATATTTTGGTGACTTTGAGATTGATCAATCATTCATGAAATGTATAAACATAACCAACTTGATTTAATTTAGTAATATTTATTGATTCGATTCTCGCTTGCCTGCCATCCGAAAGTATAAGATCCTAGGGATGTGCCAAGGTCACTGCACAAGGCTCGCCTACTTGAATGCTGGTGTTGAGATTGGGAACTCGTTGCTGGACTTCGCCATGATCGTTCTAGACTTCTTCATGCTTTGCAAGGCATTGATAGAGCTGTCCATCAAGTGCAAGTTGAGCCAGTAACCGTCATTGAAGGGTCAATAGTAATGACAAGCGCCTCAGTAGCGACGTATCGCCATTGTTGATAGATGTCAAGAAACAAAGAAACAAAATTTGGAGCTTCGTAGTATTTGACAATGACCTTTTGATTGTCCTTTATTATAAACTACTGGATGAGCTTTGTCAAATGTCAAACGCCTATACAAGCTGATGACGAACAAGAGGATTGTCTCACACCCATAAATATGTCTCATGGGTACCGGCAGACTCTTCCAACCTTGAAGGTCCAGGAATTATAGGAAGATCATAATTCAAATCAATATACAGGGACTCGTAAAGATAATCAGTATCGATTTCCCAGTCTTGCCACCTTGACACCAGAAGTATGTCAGGTGTCAACAATGACCATGGCGGTCACAAAGGCAAGAACTTCAACCCACATCACAAGTCCATCCATCATGGCCAAGGTACAGGACCAGAGTCGGCTTCCAACCACAATCAATCTTCCGGGGACTGGAAGAACACCGAAAACACTGGCGGCAGAGTCAATCGGGGTGGTTACAAGGGCAAGAACTTTGACCCAAACTACCATAACCGCTTTAAGAAATTGACTCATCTCTTTGATCCTATAGCAGAACTGCGACCCAGACATGATCTACCACCACGCCCAAGCTTTCAGAGCCAGTTTGACAAGGAAATCCGCAACATTCCCACCGGACCCAAGAGCCAACGAGTCAACTATAACCACACTGCACAACGAGGTCCTCCTCCTCCTCGGCCCCAGCAAGACCAACATGATCAGAACCGCTACCACCACCGCAAGCGCAAGCTGGACCAAGACGCCGACCAGTGGATGTGTTCGTGCCCGAGGGCACCGACACGGTGTCACAGCCAGCTGCTGCAGCAGTACGAGGACGACTGCCGCGAGTACCGCACGCAGCTGGCTGCGGGCGAGCACGATATCGAGGTCCTGGGAACGACGCTGCAGCGTTTTGCGCGCGCCAACCCAGATCTCGAGGCTCAACTGGTCGCGTGCTATGAGGCCGTGGAGAGGGAGATTATCGAGCAGGAATATGCATACTTTCGCGAGTCTGGACCGGAGAATACGCCGACGTCCAATTCAGCCAGTTCATGATGAGCAGGTGAGAAACAAGCAGTAGTCGTTCCTCAAAAGTAGATATTCATGATTTGACCTTTTAGATCATCTCGTTTGAACATGTAATTAATCCATGTGCATTTTGTGCAGACATGTCACGTATACATAATAACTCTTATAACTTTCATGATTAATACGTAGCTACGTGATGAATTTGCAATTTTGAGATGAGCCGAGATACTTGATGCTGAGCACTAATATCTTGAAAGAACTTGGTTTACCCATAGTGTAGGCTATATGAGCAAACAAGCAAGAACTTGGATAATTCTCGACAGAGCCTCATAGAGTGAGCGCTCATCACAACCCACGAATCATGATAGAGTCACCGAGGTGCAAAATCACACAAGAGCATCACATAGCACGCCATCTTACCAAGTCAAGTCGTGAATGGTATGAGGTCATGATGAGAAGCCACTACTATTCAGATATACGAGCCTTTTCGTAAGCTGTTTCGTCTGAACTTTAGCATTGGCAACAAGATCATGTGTTCATAGCCATTGCCTTGCGTCTAGACAACTTTATTGCATTCTCACCGCCTGTAGTACTTCTCATTAATCGTTCCCCCTCGAGTTTGATCTCCATAGAATACGGTCAAACTGTCTCTTCGCGTTGCAACAAGTAAAATTGCAGGCGAGGCTCTAGAGAGTAATGATTGCCCAGGTCTAGCCACACAATCGAGGCAGCCTTGCCTATAATGACCTCGACCGAGATGGGGAAAAAAGAGGGGGGGAAGCCTATTGTCCATTATCTTGACAGATCTATTCGATTCAATGACTAAGAAAAATCAGAAAGATCATTTGCCTCTTGATGTGATGAACCATCGCCCCTCGGAGGAGATGCCCCTTGAGATGCAGTGGGAAACATTCAGTGTCCCCGCATTCTCAACCAAAAATTCAGTGAAGCTCTCTCCTCGGGCCTAGGATCATGATCCGGGGAGAAACATCAGGCCGAGACCACGTCAGAATTCATGCCTTGGAGGCGCCTCGAGAAGTACGGCCAGAATTTGTTGAGCGATGCAGTTGGAGAGACAGAGGGGGGAGGGGGGGTGTTTCTTTTTTTTCCATTCGGGCGATATGGGGAATGCCCTATAATGGAAGATGTGCTAAGTTCTAACGAGCTGCAATCCCATATCGACAATAGATCGACTCTGCAAACAGGAACGCCAAACGTTTTGGGAATGGTGCATCTGACTGGGCGAGCTCTCGAGTTGAGTGGGCAATATCACATGTTGAGGGGTGGGATATAGGACTATAGAAACGACCGGGGGTGTTTTGGAATCGGGATGGGGTACGGACAGTTGAAAGAAAGATAGAGATTAGGTGTGGTGGTCCTGAGGCTAGTTTCCGACATGCCTGTCAACTCTATAATCACATGTTGTATAGTAGGCTAGGCACAAGACTTTTTTCTTCTCAAGCAACCGAACCACACCCCAGTAGGCTTGGCAATGGAGTGGGGTAAAGTAAGGTCGATCGAGGCTGCTACCATGATATGGCTGGTAGGAACCCGTTGATGATCGCGATGGTGTCATAATATTTACCGAGACAGGGCTGTACACATCTATCATTTATCCTTCTTCACCTTGTCAGGAACACAAAGAGGGCCTGTCCCTGTTTACGACTAGCGAATAGATAACGAGATGCGAGATAAAGCTTGTGCCTGTCCAGCGTACCATCGTCGTCTGTCGGGCAGATGCCTTGTCCTTTGTGCAAGGGGGTTTAGGGAGAGCGAGTAGGAAAGGATGAGAGTGGTCGCAGAGTGGTGCCCCAGTGTTGATTCTCCACACTATTAACGCTTCTGACAGCTTCAGAAGGGGGTGTGAGGAAAGACAGAGAGAGAGAGTGAGTGCGTGTGTGTGTGTGTGTGTGTGACTGGGGTGGCTCCGGTTTTGTTTCGACCAGTCACGGCGTTTTACATTCCCGGAACGGCAGTTGGGAACAATTCGGGACGCGCGGCCGGGGGTACAATCGACCCACTCGGACGACCTGCGCTGCAACCAAGATTGACAACAGCGATTGTCGGTTGGGTGACATGCTCGGTTAGTTAACCTTCTTCCCACCTGCACAAGCCAGAGTCCGCCAGAGGAAGAAGCCTGGCCCTTGCATAAATGCACAGGCACGCACAAGAGAGAAAGAAGATGGGGGGTGTGGGGTGGACGACTATAGCAGTCTATAATGACCCTGTATTAATGTGCCGGCATGGAAGCTTTCTAGAAGAACTGACAGCTTGGCCAGTTCACTCCACAGGTGTCGGACATATATTGAGTCCACGGGGGTTTCTAAGATATCTACTGGTCCAGCCCGCAGTTGACTGCAGTTTAATGATGCAATGATCCTTGTATAATCCTCTCAGAGCCGCCCATGAACTATAGTCGGTCCCTCACAGATATAGGTACATGATAGATACTTTACGAACTTCTCCCCCCTCGAGGCCTTGAACAACTCCTTGTCCTTGACAAGATATTAAGACAAGCAGTTAAGACCGCTCGGAGCGGGATAGCGTCAAGTGGAGAGTATGTTGTTTCATGAGGCTCACGGCGATCAGGCCAAGAAGAACCATTCCCAAAGCCGTGAACCATACACCCCGGAAGGCCTCCATAAAGACAGCAATGACATCTGACTTTGGCCACCCCTCGGGTAGATGTTTGAGTTCGTTGAGATCATCCCGAATTCTGGGAATTTCAACGCTGGCATCGGGCAGATGACCAAAGTGGTTCCAGAGCTGCGTCTTGAGGATGTTTTGGTAAACTGTCGACGCTATAGTCACGCCTACTGTACCTCCCACAGACCGGAAGGCGTAGGTGGCGGAAGTAATGACGGCCTGGTCAGCATGATCCACTGCAGCAAGGCAAGCCAATAACGTAATTGTCAACATGGCGCCATAGCCGGAACCAAGCAGGAAAAAGGCCAGCATGAGATGCCATTTCGGCGTCGTTTCATTCAGAGTAGTTAGAATGACGACGTGTATCAAGTGTAGACTGACCGAAAGGATACCAATACCGACATATCGCCCGGTCTTTTTCATCAGGTACCCGCTGCCCACGGAGCAAATGCAGATGCCGATGGGGGCAAAGAGAATGACGAGACCCGCTTGAGTCGCGGAGTCGCCGCGTACCTGCAGATATAGTGGACTATAGAACAAGGCCATCATATTGGCCATGGTCGTAACGAGATTCGTCATGCACGCTGTAAAGACCGTCCGACGGAGGAGTAGCCTAACAGGAATGATCGGCTGTGCGGCTCTCGCCTCCCACCAGACGAAGCCCAAGGCGGCAACAAAGGCGAGCGGAATGGTTGTCAGAGGCAGTGGATGTGTCCATGGCACGAGGTTTCCGCCGGCGTTGAGCCCGAGAAGGAGTAGAACGAGGAAGACAATGATGAGAAATGCACCGACGAAATCGATACGGGCCAGGTAAGACTTGTTCGAGACCTTGGGAGGGATGCGAACCAGATAGGCCACCAGACATGCGGACACCAACACCGGGGGCACCTGGATGAAGAACGCGAGACGCCACCCGCCGCTTGTGTAGTCGTTGAGCAAGCCTCCGATGACGCCTCCGCACATGGCTCCGGAGCCATAGGCGATATTTCCGATGCCTTGAATGATACCTCGCTTCCGGAGAGGCACCAAATCCGTAGCCAAGAAGGTAGTGATGGACATTAACCCGCCACCGCCGATCCCGGCTACCACCCGACCCAGTATCATGACATGTTCGTTCTGGGCGAGTCCGCATATGAGATTTCCGGCAGCGAAAAACAAGTTGCTGAAAACCAGACCCGGGCCGCGGCCAAAGATGTCGGTCAAGCGGCCGCTAATGGGCTGACATGCCGCATTGGCAATCAGATAGGCTGTAGCCAGCCATGATAGCAGACTGAGAGACTTGAACTCGCTGGAAATGGGAGCCGAGAGAGTCGCGATAATGGAGGCGTCTACAGCGCCTAGAAAAACACCCATCCATCCGCTGCAGAGAATGAGCCAAAGCTTGATACCAGTGATCTCTTCGACGATCACGACCTGCTCCTCATTCTCGTTGGGGGTCTGCGACTGTTCTGCGGGGATAGCAGCATTGCTGTCGCCGTCTCGCAGCAAGGGAGTCGTCTCATCGTGAGGAGTGGCTGCTGCAGCTGACGACTCTCGTCCACTGCCAACTGAAGGCATGGTGAGGAATCGGCCAAGTCGACGACGGGACGCAAAACAATTCAAATAATAATAATGATAACGACCCTTGAGCTGAGGTAATCCGCCTCCTGAGCTCTGCAGATGCGCGTATCAAGTCTGTGACAGAATGGTCTCTCCACCAATGAGAAGGCGGCTTGTCTGCCAATGCAACCAAACCCAACCACAATGGCTCGTTCTCGCAATTTTCCCGCGACAGTGCCAGGGAGAATAAGCCGGCAATCCAATACTATATAAGCTCTGTAGTTGACTTGTTTTTCCGCAGTCGCTGTTGGTATCACGAGAAAAAGGCGTGCTAAAATGTCAGATCACTCCTCCGGCTACCTGCATAAAGCCCCGAGGTGGAGACCGAATCGGCGCTTACAAAGCCGAAAATCGGCAATGAGATAGGATGTCCCCGACATACGGAATGCTTCAAATCTGCAGCCAACCGCGAACATTACACGGTCGTGAATGAGTTGGACACCGAAGCACCGACCCGAAAAGCGAGTCTTTCTCCCGGTTGCACATAGCCGGGCGGCCCCTGGACAGTGCGAGGGTGACGGCATTTGGAGTGGAAGCACTGACTGCGGATCCTGTTTTCCTGCTGGTTACGAATATGGAGCAATGGTAGCAACGATACGTCAGCCATTGGCAGATCACAACTGAATCGCTCTCTCAAATACTACATGAACAAGTCATGATGTGTCCAGAGTGGCCACATGAATGAATGACCTTGACGAGGACCATGGTTCTTTCATAAACAAGGGATTTGCAATTGATTTCGTGCCTAAATACGTCGTCGTCGTTGGTGGACCGGATTCATCATTGGTATGTTTTGGATCTAGGACCGTCTGTCGCCAATTGACACAAGAAATGTGGATCTTTGATGCTACGCATTTGTGGCTTTCGCATCAAAACAAGACGCATCGATTCGACAACGAAAAATGTCGCGATGCGAGTTTGCGAATTAGACAAGCGCAGTCAGTGCAAGTAGGCTTGGTCAGTGAGCTGCGCAAACTCTCCAATGAAGGAAGAGTGTGCCGCCTCATCCATCTCACCATTATCCCTCCGCCCAACTTGGGTTCCCTGTTTCCCTTGTTGCTTTGTTTGGCCACCGGACCTCGACATCGCTCTCGAGTTCGTGGCGCAGCTTCATGTCAACAGGCGTCAGGCAGCTCTTGGTGAGTGGCTTTGCAGGGAAAAACCGGGGACTTTAGCATGGATAATGCCAAAGCAGCGAATCACGGTAGCCGCTCGCCAGGGCTGAGCTTTAAAAAGAACAACTGGAGACGGAGCCCATAACGCGCGTCATAATAAGCCAAGCGGCTGGACGGAGGGGGGAAATCCTCAACGAGTCAGCCTGTTATTATGGGAGGGAGGAGAGAGATGCAATAAAAATTTTAGCAAAAGAATGACAAGAAGGGGAACAACTTCACACTTTTTGATTTCTTCTTGACAATTCCAAATTCGGGTCAATCAAGAGTCTTTCGCAAACCATATTCTTCTTACTCTTGCATCTTTAGAGTTCTCACGCGCGACGCTTGTCCCTGTGCTTACTCCAGCGGCCAGCCCCAAAAACCCAAAGGAGCCCGACGACCTAAACTTACCTGCAGCTACAGCTCAGCACCAAGCACCAGCACAGCGCAGGCCCCAGTTTACCTCGACGGATTGACCTTAGCTGATAGGCGTTGCACTGCCAACAGTAGTAGCACCAAAGAGCTTTGCAAACCGGTGCCGTGTTTCGAGGTCTGAACCCCTAAAAGCTGGGCAAAACACCAAAACCTCAGCCCCGGGCTCTCAACAGCGACAACAAACATCTTATTGCTCTTGTACAAATTACATCCTCTTTGCCTGGGTCGGACCTCTTCATATCCAAAGGTCGCCTATATACTTAGCCGCCTGCGACACACCGCCCGAACTTGTTGCACACAGTAGCAGCTTCGTCGTTTGATGGGCATTTTCGAAAACATGGAGTGGGATGCCGACTATGTGCCTGGCGTCAAGCTAGGCTTCCACTCGATGCAGATTCTGTTGGGCTTTGTCATTTTCATCCTCGAGATCATTCTATTCCGCGCGGATAATGCCGTGATAAACGGCAACAATGGTTGGCCGTTTGGTCTGGTAAGACGAAAACCCCCCGTTCTGCCCTACCTTGGGTAACAAACACTACGGACTTGGTTACTGACTTGTGCGCTCTCCTCTAAACAGTGCTTTCTCTCCCTCCCTGCTGCCGTCTACCTGATCATGGCACCCCGGTGGAAACGAACACAATTCATTGCAAACCCGCATGCCATGCTGGTATTCGACTGCGTCTTTGCCATCTTTTGGCTGTCGGCCTTCGCCAGTCAGGCCGCCTACAACACGGCCAACTCTTGCGGTGATGGCTGCAACATCAGCAAGGCGATTGTGGGCCTGGCCTTTTTCGAGCTCTTTTTCTGGGCCCTGTCGACCTTTGTCAGCGCCTACACGCTCAAGTACTACCAGTTCCACGGTGTACTGCCCGGCTATCCCAACATCCAGCGCAAGGGCGGTCACCAGAACATTGACCCAGACAAGGCCGCCTTCTCCATGGCACCCCATGACGAGGAGGCCTACGCGCCCATCCATGCCGATGACCATGACAATGATGACCACGGCATCGGTGGCGCCCCCTACAATGCCGACTCGTACGGCGCCGGGCGCCCCATGTTTGACAGCGAGACCGAGTACCACAGCACGACGCAGCGGCCCATTCACGAGAATCCCTACAACGACCACACCTACCGGGCAAACAGCACGTCGCCCGCCAATGATCCTTACCGGGCGCACAGCACCTCGCCTGCCAACGACCCCTACAGTGCCGGCTACGGCTTGCGGCCAGACGCCAGCAGTGGGCCGCACATTTACGCTCCGCCCTCGGCGGAGGATTACGATGATGGAAGGCCTGCGCAGTTCCCTACTGGAAACTATGACCGGACGTTACATTAGGTTGCTGAATAATGGCAGTTTGGTGTAAACTCCGAAACCTCATGAAAGCATGAAATAGACATTTGCATTTTTTGTTCTCCCTGTTTTCTTTTTTGAAAACACTGCTTGACAAGAGAGCATTGTATGAGCTATGGAAATCGGTCCGATGGGAATCGCAGTTCGATTTCATTCCTTTTGTCGGACCGGGAACGTTACGGTTATATGCATTTGCTTTTTTCGGGATGGGAAATTGGTGTTTTGGGTGTATTCAGCTTGATTATATGAGCGACCTTGTTATTGTATGTACGAGGTGCCCCAACCCCTGCTACTTAGGTAGTCTTGTGTGAATTCCATACCATATATACTATTCTATCATAATCAATGGCCAGAACAGCATATTATATAGTCAATCGCAGTAACACGATTTCTTGATCTAAATATATACGGCCCAGGGAAGCAATGATCATGGTAGGACGGGTAGCACTAGGGGCTAACCGTGCCGCCGAGAGGTTGAACAATTTATGGAAAACGAGTCTTGAGGCTCAACGGCATCCCAAGCAAGGGCACGAACCTTAATTGCACCTCATATTTGTTCTAAATATTGCGCCATAAGAAGTCGTTAGATTCAGGGTTCACAGCAAGGCCTTTTCCCCTTTGTGCGTGAACGGGTTGCGTGGCACCTGCCTGTTTCGGCGAGCTTGCGTTGATGCTTGCCCGGTTTCTGGGAGCCGGGAGCCGCAAAAACCGGGGGAGGAAACGCCACGCGACCACACAAAGGCCAGGAAGACTTGCAGCAACTGAGCAGACTATTGGAACGGGATTCGGGGCAAGAGATCTTATTAAGCCAGGAAAACGGTGAGGCAGCGGATGACTGAGCAAGGAACATAATTCTCCGTATGCGTCTTGTCAGCCAGGGCCATCGGAGACAAAAGAAGGAACAAGGGGAGGGATGACGACGACGACGAGCATTGGTCTATCACCGATCTCTCCTCGGAGCAAGGAGCTGCATGGATGCTTTTTGCGTGGTCTTGCGTGGACGAGCATGGCTCCCTGATCGTATTTACGACGGGCTAGGTAGTGGTAGATGTGCGTATATATAAAGTCCATGCCACACCGATGCAATGGTCATTGAGACGATTGAGCCTTGGATACTGCTGTAGATGCCCGAGAAGACCAGGGTATTCGACGAAAGATGGAGGACACACGATGAAAACAGGTCGACAACAAATGGAGGAACGTCAAGAGTTTGGTATTCGACAATGGGTAATGGAAGAGGCCGATGCTGATATGGACCACGAACAACACCATGAAAAACTCTCTTTTGTCTTTTTTGTATATTCAAGCCAACTCCGAAACGCCATATTAATGCGGATTCCCTCGACTGGATCGACCTAAATTTCTTCTTCCGACCTTTTCTTTTCTTCCCTTTACTCCTCGCCTTCGAGCTTTCGTAACCGCCGCGCAATATCGGCCGCGGTCTGCTGCATGGGGTTGAGCTTGCGGTCGCGAGCCATGGCCTTTGTGTCGGTGCCGTGAGCCTCGACAAGGCTCTGCAACCATTCGCGCTCACGCTGGCTCTGCGTCCGGGGCTTCTTCTCCCGCGGCCGGGACGCCTCCTCCTCGAGCTGTCGCACGACCTCGGTCCGCGTGTCCTCGATGCCACCCCACGTCTCGCCGTCGTCGGGAAACTCATCCTCGGCCTCCGAGTCCGTGTCCAGCTCATTCAAGGGGTCGTTGAGCGGGTTATCCCGCCGCCTCTTGCCATCGGCGCTGCCTAGAATCCGAACAATCTTGCCATTGGCGTCGCGCTCAACTCGGACCTCTGTCACGACCCCATTGCTACCGCCCGCTCCTCCGCTGACGCCCGTGCCCTGGATGGAAAAGTGGTCGACGGGCTGCTGGCTGGGCTTCTTGCCCTGGCCTGCGTTCTTGTAGTCGGGCTCGGCGCCGCCCGTGGGGCGCTGCAATCTCGACACGAGTCCCAGACGGCGGTAGTTCTGGGTCTGGGTCTCGTCCTTGTTCCAGTTCTTGGCCACAATGTCGTTGCCCATGGGGTTGCGCAGCTTGCTGAGGCGTGATGAGGGCTGGCGGATGGCGGGCCTCGACGAGCGCCTCTTGCGCTTCTGCAGGTCACGTCCCATGGTCTCGATGTCTAGTGTTGTGACGCAACAATATGTCTTGTGTTTACTGATGCTTGGTAGGTTGGAGACAGAAGTAGGTTAATGTCTCGTGATGCGATTCGTTCGTTCGACTACGCCGGCATCAGTCGAATAAGTCACGATGCTCTTTCACCAGATTCGCTGCTTGTTCGTCGCTGGGAACTTGTCAGTGGTTCCCGACCCGCCCAAATTTTTTGTTATCGAGGGGTTCTGATAGCAACTCGATAAGAATAGCGGCCCGATAAGCTTTATGCAATTATGTGGCTGTGCGGTCTCGAGCATTTTGTGGCTTAGCGTTCTTGTCCGTCAGCCACTATCCAGGAACGCCCAACCGCTTACTCATCAAAATTCTCGGTTCGCAAACGAACTTCTACCCAGTATACTCGAGATCCACAAAGTTATCTTATTGCATTGGTAACTTGCGGGTTCTGACATGTGCTGCGGCTTGTTCCTTTGCTTCTTCTTGCTCCGGCCGAATATGCCCGTACATACTGATTGGAGGCTGCAACAAAGCCTGTCGCCGCTATGGTATAATACTCCTCATACACTCCTCTTCTCGCTGACATCGTGGTTACTCAGTTGGGTATTCTCTCTCAAAGCTCCGAAGTCTCAAACACGTGTAATCTCCGCGAGAGTTTGACGCTCAAGCCATGGCACAACAAGGAACAAGCGCGGCCCCTCTAGCACGTGCTGGCGGCGGCGAACGAACATGCAGCTCTTCTTCTTTTCGTCGCATGGCAGCGCATCACGTGTATTTCCCGACTATTATACTTGTTTGGGTTCTTCTTCGTAAAGGAAAATGACCGCATTGCGCCCTCTGACGCCAAGCCCCGTTGGGGCGTCGGTCAGGTTTACCTCTCTCAAACCCTTGAGCCGACGATGTCCTGCGGCCGCGGCTCCTCTCTGCTTGCAACCCCCAAACGGGCGATGATACTATGGTATGATGGGCAAGTAAAATCACCCCTCACGTGTACAGGTGGGAACTGGGTTCTGGGCCATAGCCACCGTTTTATGCCGTACTAGGTTAGCGTGGTTTGTATATGGTGATCCGGTTATAACGTAGAATCTTTTCGATGTAAGTGGTAATTGTATTATATTATATTGAGTTGAATTAACTGCATTATTAATGTGTTACACTACCTTTAGCGGCGATTATATTTTAACAGCGCTGCGGCATCGTCGCAAATAATTCCCGTAAATAATCCTCCGTAATTAAATCCCACGCTTTTCGAACGTAGCGATAAAGCCGATCGTACGATGGATTCTCGTTATATTAGTAGTTTTTTTCGATATAGTCTTTTATTTTATTTTATATAGCCTTGATAGGGTTTAAATCCGGTAAATAAAAGGGCTAATTAATAATAAAAATACTACGATTTTAAAGATTCTTTTTTATATTATAATACGAATAGGCTTTCGTACCGTTTTATATTAATACTAAATTTTTACGGGAATTACGGCGGCAAAATCGTATTTATTTATCGATTAAAAGGACGGTATAAGCTCGATATATCTTGCTTATAATCGTGCCTTAGTTTTTTTCCTAAAATAAATACGGGCCTTTACCGGTTACTTTTAAAAAATAGCCCTAAAATATTTAATTTTATTTGCGTTACCGTTTTTCTAAAATATAATTTTTATAATAGGTTTCGTCGGCTTATCGCGTTATATACGCTTTACGATAACGGCCTTTAATTATTTAGGTTTCGTCGGTTTATAAAATTTAGGATTATTGCTCGATCGTTTAATATTAGTGCTATTTTACCTAAGCCTTTCGTCGACGTTTAGCTTCGTCCGATAACGGAGGCTTTTTTCGGGCTACGTAGCGCTTAAACCCGTAGCAACGAAAGGTCGAGCGTACGGTATAAATACTAAAAATCCTACCGAGGAATATAAAAATAAGCTTAAGCTACGATATAAATCGAAATCGCTTTTTATTAATAATAAAGGCAATTAGCTATTATTTTTGCTTAAGGGTTATTTTAAAGGGAGCTTTCGAGCGCTGCTTAACGGCAAATTTATCGTAAATAGCCCGCTTAATTTAGGATCGATAAAATCCGGTAATTTTCTCGATATTTTTTTATATATAATAACCTTCGAAGAAAAGGGTACGAACCTTTTTACGTTCTAATTCCGTTAACTGCTTTATATGCGTTTTTGTAAGGCGTCCGCGTTTTATCGTTATTATTATCGTTATTAAAAATAAATAAAAAAGTTAGTAACGTTGGGAAATAAAACGATGTGACGAGAAATATATCAAATGCACACCACACCCAAATCGGTGTAGTGTGCAGCATGGACCAGTCCCCACTGGTATATAACAAGGGGTATTTTATTTACACCCGATACCATAGTACAACGGGTAGCCGAAGACCTGCCAGCCAGGGAGGGGTGTGTCAACGGCGGAATATAACAGTAAACAGCCCCAAACGAACGAATCAGAGTCCCTCTTTTGGCTACCCTGTCTACATATCGGACGCTAAGCTAGCGCAGATTTGAACCCCTGCAAAAAGGACATCTCCACAGAGAGCACCAACACTACTTTAGTGCCGGGCAGGGCAGGGGACATGGAAAGATCCATCATTCCCCCCAGGCCCCCCCCCCTGTCAAACTCAATCCAGAGCCGGTTGATCGCCTAACGCTTAGCGACGTACCTACCGCATGCAACAAGCAAGGCCAAGCTTCTGTTCTGCTTGCTTGCCTTGCCCATGCTCTCCACCCTGAATGGCATGCTGCTCGGTAGTGGCCGATAGCGTATAATTTATGGTCAATGTACCTGGCTGCGGGACCCCGTTCTTGGTGCTGCAGGTTTGGGCTGGGTGCAGTGCCAAGCTTTTCCTTCTCTCTTAGTTACTCTCTCTCTCTCTCTTTTTTTGCTCTCTCTCTTAGTCTTTTTCTTTATCTTTGTGTATTTTGTATTTGTATCATCCATGTTGGTTCCTTACACATTTGCTAATGTCACTATAGCACTAACATACACATGTCTCACCCCACACACACACACACTCCCGAGGTCTCTCTCACATTGGCATCTTTAGTACATGTCTGTCTAGCCTTGGGGACATGCTAGCTAACCTACCTTACATTACCTAGTAGTTGTTGCTACCCTATGGCAGTTGCACGTACGGTACTCAAGGTAGCCTTGTCGTGTCTTGGTGCAGCAGTTCAGGCTACCACTACTACCACTATAACCAAGGTTGTTCAGGTAGTCTCGGAGTGCGGCTCATTGTACATTAGTGATGGCACCGCACTATCATCTCTGAGCAGGTTCCTTTGGCAGGGGTTTATGAACCAGCCAGAGAGTGGAAAGACTCCAAGAATAGTCAGCCCCGCGAACAGAGAGTCAAAGCGACACTGCCGTTGATTCTGGGTTCTCTAAAGATCAACTCTTTCTTGTTTCTCGACTCATTTCACATGTGAGGCCAAGATGTTGATCTCGCGCTCGGCAAGAGGAAATACAGACAACAAAGAACGATACCCGAGTCTTATCAACAATGAATGCAGACCAATAGCGAGCCATCAAGTCGTCCGCTTACCGTAACATGATCGTCAGCCCCGTTTCGGCGGCTGTTGCGCGAGTACACAACACTTGCTACAGCCACACACCCAGATCCAAAGTACTCTCTTTCCAACCCCGCAACCCCCGGCTCGACGTCCATCGGGCGGCTCTGCGCTTTGGAGTTGTGTGTATGGCGATTGGGCCTCAAGGGATCTTGTTCATTGTTTCCTCGCTTGTAAGCGCAAATCATAATTCACGCCATCTTCTTTCGTTCAAAGGATTCAGAGTATGTGTAAGAGGGTGGGAAGGCGACTCTCATCTCCCCGATAGACCCTGCCCCCGTACTTCCCACCCACCCCCCTCTTCCCTCCTCAACGCCAAGGAGTAAGAGTTCTAGAACGTCGTCACGGAAAGATCATGAGATCGTGAGAGTCGATAGAAGCCGCCGCTAAGGATAGATTTGGGGGGTGTGGGTGGACGGGAGGGGGGAAAGAGATGTGCGCGTGTGTTTGTATGTGCTCATATATTCACTATCCCGTATAGAGAGGCAGGTAGTGTAGATCATAGACACCATAACCACAGTGGGTAGTACGTATTGCTGGATCTTGGCCTGCTCGTTCTTGTCCTCTCCACCTCGCCTGGCACTATTTTTTCAAATAATCAACAGCCGTGTGTATGTTTACACGATACCCCCACGCTTCAAAAGATATTTGGCGCTGGGTGAGCCAAAGGCTAGGGCTTGCTTGCTACTACTACTACTTTGGCCCTGCAGCAAGGACATGGACTGGTTGACGCGTTCTTCACTTGTTTCCGTGGTGGCTTCTGTTGTCTTCGTCTCCAATGCGATACTACTGCTACACTGCACGTCCCATTCTCTTGGCAATATAAGGAAAGAAGGGCGAGAATGGGAATAAGAAGCTGTTGATGGAAATGTAACGGGGGGTGTACTGTAGGTAGCCCATGTAAGTGGAAACGAAGGTCCCCTTCTTTGGATTTGCAAAAAAAGTCTCCACATCCCAGCCCGCGTATCTCAAGGGAACATGAAAAAGTTAAAGTGACGATCCGGATTAGGCAGTGGCCTATTCAGGGTGTTATAGAGTATGGAGCTCTTATTCTCTCAGACACGCCTATAGCAGCAAGCCCTATTCATCCCATGTTTCCTTTTCAACTTATTTTGCACAAGATATCAATACAGACGGGGCCTTGATAGGGAATATACCTCGTCTTTCAGCCAGACTAATGCACAATGTACACGCATACAAGCACACGCACATACCCTCCGATCCAGAGATCGATAAACTTTGGATCCCCTTCTCCAATGACAAGAAACCCCACGTTTTTCTACTTTGGGAAACGTGGGTTCAAACTTCATGTAATCGGGGTATTTTGATTTTATTATTTTTCCATCGAAGCGATACTACCGACTGTAAAATATTCAAAATGATCAAGTCCTACATATTTTCATATGATGATTGCAGAATCACAGGATTGTATTACACAGTAGAACCTCGGCCAAGACCAGCCGATGATCTTCAGGGTCCTTGGTCTGCCCACTTTCGCCCCCACTAACCGCCCGGTCCCCTTCAATCGCTTGGCTTTCTTTGTTCATGTCTACTCTGTCTCTCGGCCGAGGGAGACATACAGACACGTTTTGGCTCGGCTCTGTCTCTCTCTCTTTCTCTCTCTCTTTCTCTCTCTCTAAGCGAACATGTGCGTTCATCTCGCCTTTTTTGCTGCTGCTGCTGCGCGCACGTTTGCAGGTTCGCTTCGGTGCCCTGTGGCGTTCCCCTCCCCCTTCTGCGGCTCGCCTACGCATCATCGTGGAGCACTCACTCCGTTGCCAATTTTATGTGAACGTGCGTTCATCTGCGGCTGGGCATGACGTTCTTTTGCATAGATCCATCCAGCCTCATTTTTACAAGCTACTCGCACATGTTTTGGCCGCTTTCCCAAGGACAAGTTTCACGTTCTTTCATATGAATGTACCATAACGTTGGAGACAATTTGTAGTATCTTTTGGGTATTTTGCAAGTCTTTATAATTACATCCAAAACCGTGTGAGCGCTCTCAAAAGAAGAGTAGTGGGTATTCGCGCAGTAGACCAGCACAAGAAAATAGAACAGTAAATCAAAAGAATCCGACCCAAATATGCACCTCTTTCTGGAACATGTTTCCCGCCGTGCCTATATCCGCCCCTTTCTTTCCCCGCCTGTTGACCGCCGGGTTTTCCTGTATCAGAGCCTTAAAGCCGTAGTAACAATAATCATCATTTCCATGAGCCCATAAGATCCATAAAAAGCCATGAAGAAGCAGAAACGTGCCGTAAAGTATACAAGATGGTTGCAAACCAAGTTGCGTATATAAATGGGGGTGTCCAGCATGAAATAAAGATAAAAATCCAATTGTGCATAGAAAAAGGGAGACAAACATTACTCTTTCGAGTATACATGATAGATGAAGCAAGGAAATAAAGACATAAAACATTTAAAACATGATCCATTCTACATCAACGCCTGGCCCGCCGATGCATTTTGTCCAGTTGAAGGGGCCACGCGTTTGTAGAGCAAGCTTGTTGGGGCTGGCGGCATTGTCCCGAAGATCGCCTGCCCAGAGGCGCTCGAGGACCTCGATAGCAGATAGGTTGTTCATGTAACCACTGCGCGACATGATGTCTCGGCACTTGTTGCGTACAATGTTTTGTTGAAGCTCATTGACACATTCGCTACCGGCAACGAATAGAGGCCAGAGGAGGAACTTCTCGGCAGCACCGCCAGACTCGAGGGAAGTAGCATAATAGACAACTTGGCTGACCAAGTTACGGAAGTTGTTGTGGCTGGATGGCACGTTGGGTGAAGCTAGGCGCTCTGTGTAGAGGAGAGCTGCGTATCGGAAAGCCTCGGATAGAGAGCCAAGGTCGCGGACCTGACTCGGTGTAAGAGTGCCCGGCAGAGAAGCTGTGATGCGTGACGAATCAAACTCCCAGGTCTGCAAAGCGTTGCGTGCTTCCTTCCACTCACGCCAAAAGGTCGAGCGTTGGTCGTCATAGGTGGGCGACGAGCAGAGGCCAGTGCCAAGGATCTCATCGTCATCCATCTGAGGACCAAAGGCACCACCGTCGAAACGAGGAGCCTGGACGCCCAAGCTGAAGAAGTCGCTTAGCTGAGATGAGTTCTTGAAGGTGTTGCCCAATGGAGATCCAAGAGGTGAAGACACTCTTGGGACACTCAAGCGGCCCGTGGGCGAAGCAATGGCAGTGGACACGGAGCGATGTTGTGAGAGGAGGTTGAGGCGACCAAGCTTGGAGATGGTCTTGAACAATTCCCTGTCACACCCGACCCAATTCTCAGCACCAGCAGGAAGCAAGTTGACATCGGGTGAGACTCCATAGAAAGTGTGGTTGAGTTGGGCTTCCCTGTCGTTCACGCTAGCAGAAATGGCATCAAAGTAGGTAAAGATGGCTTCCATCCATGCCGAGTCGTTGGAGGCTTGGTATGGCGCAGAGTTGCGCATGCTGAGAATCTTCTTGACGCCAGCAAACTGAGTTGCGAACTTGGCAATACCAGACTCAACCATGCGGTAGTGGCAGAGAAGAAGGATTGTCGCCAAGACGGAATCGTGGCATGACTTGTTGGGGTCGTTGAGTTGCTGGTTGAGAAGATGGACGGCGAGGTTGCGATGTTGGTACTCCTCTGTCAAGGGCAGATCTTCTGATTGGTGCTCGCCCTGCTCAGACATGAATCTCTCTGGTGACTCCTTGCCGTGTTGGCCCAGGCTCAACTTTCTCTTCATCCTCAAGTTGCACGCAGACAGAGCGCAGATAGCGTGTTGCAAGCTTCGGCTGCTAGCAGCCAGGCGGAGGATGTGATCCCTGTAGGGATTTGTGGGCCCGTCGACGAGAACCATGGATGGACACATTATGTTTTCATAATAATCCATGAAGAAAGGCATCTTGGTAATCAGGTCGGGGCTAATTTGTATTGATGGGGTGCCGTAGGGGCCAACCGCAGCAATGGCTGCTGCGGCCGAGGCGTGGTCTAGAATGTGGGATGCGGCGTCCTCTTCCTTCAGAATTGCAGGGGCCCAAAAGGAAGCAGATGCGGGACCGTTGGTGAAGGACTCAACTTCGTGTACGCCTTATCGAAGTTAGTGCTGCTGCTCAGTGAGTCGTCGAAGAAGAAGTACTCACTGAGAGTATCAGCATCGCTCAGGAGTCTTGCATGAGTCATCTGGTGCTCAAAGCCGTCGTGGTGGGATCCCAGGCTAGAGCTTGGCTCAGATGGAGCGTATACAAGGCTGGGACATGAGGTAGGGGCACGCTGGTGGTCGATCATGATGGCCGAGACGGGGCTTTGAGGGACCGACGAGCCATGGCTGCTATAGCTGTCATACATGAGAGTAGGGCTGTGCATGTATGGGAGCTCGTCTCTTGAGAATTGGCTCAATGGAGAGAGTGTGTAGTCCACATCACTCAAGGCATCTACCGCGGGTGAGAGTCTGTCGGTGATCAGTGGGAAGTGACCCAAAGAGGTGTTGAGTCTGTGCATCTTTGGGTGTTCATGACCGCCGAGGCTTGTTGGGTATGGGATACCGGCCCAGCTGGTAGGTGTGGTTGGCGGAATATGTTCACCTTGAGAGAAGCGAGTAAAGTCATGGTAAGTGGCGAACGGTGTTGTTGGAAGAGAGACTGGGTGGTGAGCGCCGTGGAGATCGATTTCATCGCGATGCGAGCTCGTGGGAGAGCTGCTGCCATGTTCACTCCACTGACTCGAAGTCGTGTTGGCTCTCGATCTCGGGGCGGGCTTCTTGTTGACTGGGGCGACTGGCGGCGCCTTTGCGATGGGTAGTGAAAGACCTCGAAGCTTTCCACGGCTTGCAACGCCGACTCCCCAAGTCAACTGAGTCTTGTATCCAGAGCACTCATTTCCTACTTCCAGACATTGCGAGCAGTAGGGTCTTCGGCGGTCGCACTTGGCTCCCCTCTTGATGCAGGCGAAGCAGTCATCTGCAGCTCCTCCAGCAGGCGCCCGTCTTCTGCGCTTGCGGGCAGCCTGGGTCTCCTTTGACGGGGCCGGCTGCTGTGAAGGAAGTGAGACTGTCATTTTGAAAGTAATGGCTCAAGGAGATGCCAAGTTCCTGGTGTTGACAAGGTTGGTACGTAGTATAATGTGGTTGCAGAAAGGGATCGGATGGCAGAGTGATCTAAGCTCGGGACGATTGGGACTTCTTGTCCATGGGACGGGACGATGTCTGACTGGCGTGGGTAAATGAGGTTTAATATGGATGAAGAGATAGATTGTCAAGAAGATGGTTCATTGGCACGGCAGAGACGAGGTAGTTATGTAGGCTGAATGCGGATGAAGTAGTTGGACGAGCAAGAGATATAAGTGTGTTCGTCTTGTGCAAGTCGTGTGTGTGGTGGCAGCAGATGTTATGAGAAGAGACGAAACATGGAGCTAACAACAGGGCATCCCACATTCTTCAAGCCCGTGTACACAAGGTGGTACCGAGCGAGTATGCAGGCAGGGCCCTCCTCGGCCATCTATGGGGCTCTCCATTCACTCTCGCTTTCCCTCTCTCTCACACAATGTGCCTCTGCCATTATTGCCAGGGAGAGACGATAGCATATCTGGGGGTGGGTGGGCGCGAGCGCTGGCAGCAGGAGCTACGAGGGTGGTACAAAGGACGGTGGAGAATAGACGGCCGGAGGCAATCGACCAACCAGAACGGCGTGGACCGGGGAGAGATCTGCGGGTATAACCTCGTAGACAAGGGCGTTGAATATGAGCTGGGGGCCCCTGGCGAAGAGTATATACCCATGCCCAGCGCTAGCTTTTAGGTTGGGCGAGGGTCAAGACCAGGACCAGGGGGGAGCGAGGTATGTAGTAGGTATCGTGTATTCTCGAGGGGCCGGGCCTTTGCCCATGCCCATCGAAGGGGTCTGTCTGTCTAATCGATGTACCTTGGATCGGTGCTAGAGCATAGGAGCCATGCAATGACACCCGCTGTTGGTTGTCTGCGGCGCCACAGCGTTGAGCAAAGAAGCCATGGCCACCATTCGAGAAGGCAAGCCGGCAGCGGGAGAAGAAAGATGGTGGCTTGACTGGGCTTGCTCTGCTCTAATGACATACAGAGCACGCAATGGACGCTTACCTCAGAGAAAAGGTTTTTCTGTGTGATTTTGCCCATGTCTGGTTTATTTTCTGTAATACATCGTATTTGTTGGGCAGGGGCACATCTTGACTGTCAAATTGCTCCGGCTTGAACACCCCGCGAGAGAGGCAGACAGACAGACACACACAGATTCCTGCCAGGGTCGAGAACAAGAGGTTCGTCCTTCACGCAGGTTTGGTTCCTCCTGGTTTGTGGCTATGACAACACCACCCATCACATGCGACGGCGAAACACGTGAGAGAGCGCGGCGCGCGGACGGCAAGTTCCTGTCGCAAAACGTGCGACCCTCACAAGAGGCAGCGAGTTCCCCCAAGACAAAGTCAAAAGGCAGAACGGAGCAACTCTTCAAAAGTATCGATGAGAAACAGAGCCATGTCGCAAGAGCGGCGCTCCCTCACGCACACACAGACGGACGAAGCGACGAGGGTGGGGAGTGGGGGTGTGAAAGGGAAGTAGTCGGTAGGTAGACAAGCCTTTTGCACCTGCGCCGTAGTGTACCAGTCAAGGTACGTACATTACACACTGCATACCATATTCTGTAGGTATAAGCCGGGGAGAGAGGCCAGGGTAATGTAGGGAGGGGGGTGTAGTGTATAGGTAGTATGCGCTCATTGTATGGCTGAATGGTTGGCTATAGGTTCGACAAGATTGATGTTGAGGTTGAATAGAGAGAGGGGGGTGTGAGTTGGTGAGAGTGTTGCGAGGGTGAAGTGTGAACAAAGGGAAGGGGTGTGGACCAACGAGCGCTGCCCCTCGCCCTTCTTCCTCCCCCTCCCCCCACCCCGTTCGTTCCCTCTCAACAGTGGTTGTTGCGTCCGGGGTTCAGCAGCAGAGCTCACACTAACCTCTATTCGGATGCCTCTTCGCTCCGATCCACTGAGAGGACCGCTAAAGCTGCAGTCCAGGGCCGTCATCCATCTCGAGCAACTCTCCCGCGCTACCTACCTAGCATAACAGTCAAGTCATTCATTCGCCTGGTCGAGTCCTACATACTACGTACATACACGGGGCGAGATACTCACAAGCCCGGTATCTGTCATTGTACCCGATGGAAATCTCTCCCATCTCTGTTATTTTGTGTGTTATGACACCAATGTAATATCACACGCCTCTGCATAGTCTGGACTTCAGATGATTGTGTGAATTATAGTGCGGCCGTCTGTCATATGTGCTCTACTATCCTTCTCGGTGCATCCAGGCCAAATCTCCGAGACGGAGAGACTCGGTACTGCCGTGTAGCCGAACTATTCCCATCAGCGAACATGCCCGCTCAGGATTCTGCTTGGCGACGACGATCAGGCTGCTTCTTTTGCCTGTCGCAGTAATCCTGCAATGTCTGCAAGCCATGTCCTGATGCGTGTGTGTGGAAAACCACTCTCTGGCAGGCAACGAGACGGCCAGACTTATTTTCTTTTCTATCCAACCCTGCGGCTCCGTTCAAGATTCTTTCGAGTGGATCACCATTTCATTTCTTTCTGTTCACCACCATTGCTGCTGTCTTGGAATGCAGCTGACCAATAAGTGTTCATGTGCCATGTCCCTAACGTGTAATCGTAATCACCTTGTATCAGGATCATCCCATCTAACTATGTGAAGTCTGAATGCGCTGTCCTTGTTTGTCCATGACAGCTGGTCGAGTATAGACGCGGCGGCCAATGAGCACATGATACAGGCTGCATAGTGCATCACCCAATGACGGTACAAATCAGGAAAATTAACCCCCGGGCATCGCTGAGACCTAGACCTCAAACATACACATCTTGATATGGGAGATTGGAGGCTAGAGTCGCCCGCTCAACTTGAGCAAATAACGGACAGAGAAGCGCCTGCGACGAGAGGCCCCAAGTATATCCACTCTTACCAACTCGAGAGCGTTCCTGGCATGAAATGCAAGATGCAGACACAAAAAAAGGTTGTGCCGCATGGAGTAAAACGTCCATCGTATGCCGGCGGTGTAAGGTGAGTGGTGGGAATAGAATTAGAGCTAAGTTTTAGTCTCAGGGAATAATAACAGAAACACCAATGAGGTGAGAATGTGGTCAATGCATGGCAGTGTCTATAGTCGATCTTTTTTGGTTATCTAGACTACCTACATACATCCCTTTGTCAATAGTGCATCTCCTGACTTTTTTCTGCTGCTCTAAACGCCAGGAATTACTCTCTGGCTGCCAGCTCTTCTGAATTTCCATTTCTAGCTTATGCGCTCATTGTCACTGATAAGCTGAACTGACTCGAAATGTAGTCAGCACAGGGCCCTTTCGTGATGTGAAGCCAGGAATACGAGATACCCTGGCAAGTGGGGATTCAGATACCGATCTGTGCCTGCGCTACTACCAAGTAGCACTCGAGCGGCCCCCTGCCCAAAAGACTTATTTCACGGTAGTAATATCATGAATCAAATATGAAAGCAGTTGAGTAATCGGCTTTGAAAACGTAAAACAAGCACGTGTAATAGTATCTATCTATCTCGCAGTATGCAGTGTTTGGTAAAACAAAGTCATGGGAACATTCCCCCTCTTTTGTCTACCAGTTGTTTTACAGCACACCTCGATTTGACTTTTTTACGTACTGCATAGTCTTTCTCGAAGCTCGATCAATGTCTTCTCCGGCAACCCAATCAGCAAGCCAACCCCTGGAGACGGGCATGCTTGGAGGCTTGGAGGCTGCTTGCTTGCTTGCTGCTGCTGCTACATGCGGTGGAGACTCTTTTTGTTGTTGGAGGGGGAGGTGTGACATGAGAGGCAGCATTGTGCATCTTGCTTGCTGCAGGTCAGCCATCATCTATCTTCTTTTGTCGCTGGCGCAACTACTAGGTCGAACGCCCGACGGCTGGCGCATATGCAAGAGTGACTCCCTCCTTTCTTCTCCTGCTTTCCCGATGTCCCACGCACAGAGGGGGGTGTGTATCTTGTTTGTTCCATGAGCCTTCTATCAAGGCTTCCATCCGTTATCTGCAAGGTCCCCCCTCCCGAGTCGAACAGAAGAAAGAAAGAGAGAGAGTGTGTGTGCCTGCGGCTGCGTAGGCGTTTCTATGCCTTCTACGCAGCTCCTCTTTTGGGACGTGACCGAAGCTCGTCGACACCTCTATTCGTTGAGACAAAGGGCGGAGCAGCTAGAAACTTGACACGATGATTTTCACAAGGCACTGCACGCGCGCGTGTGAGGCATAATAATAGAGGTTATATTGGTGGTTTCACCAAGTTTCTTCTCCTTCTCTACACCAACGGAGGCCATGACGACTTTGGTATACACGGAGTGCGCGCTGTTCCAAACCTGTCATGTCGTGGGGCTTGTTGACATGAGATCATCGAGCCATGACCACCTCCTCCAACTCTCGCACGCACTCTCTTCCCCCCTCCCCATGCTCATTCATAGCAGTCATGGCAGGCATCCGGAGACAAGCGGACGAATTGTTGGCCGCAAAGCCCGGCAAACGAGTGGTGCACATACCACACGATTGATTCCTGGTGTCGATGAATCAAAATCACGGGCCCGCGAACCCTCCCCGCTTTCCTACTCCATACCTACATAGTACTACCTAGTAGCGTTCCTACCTACCACACACACCACACTTACATCAATCATCCCATGTTGGCCAATGTTCCTAAACCTACGACGTCAGTGCACGCAGGAGAAGGCCTGATGGAAGACTCGTGGAAGCGATGGTTCAGGAATGCAAATACTCATTGAGGCTGTGCTTGTCGTCCCGTCAACCTTCCGGTCTTGAATAGATGGTGGTCTGTTGTCGTTGGTTTGATCTGATGTCTTGTTTTGTTCAGATAGACAAGAAATGACAAAAAGGACATGTGCTTTAACTGCCAATGGAGAAAAAGCTATAGAATGGAAAAAAGAGAGACCCCGCGCTTGTCATTGTTTTACCTGTCGCTCCACAAGTACCAGGTTGTCGGAAGAAGGTTGAGCTTCACTA